ACGCGCTACTGTCTATTGGCTCCATGGTCGCGGGCACCCATTCCTGTGACAGAGAAAATTCCTGTTCCGGCAGCACCAGGACTCACGTGGACGGCCCCTCGCTTACACCCATCTCAAGAGCCTCCTTTCCTTCGCCAACACCTAGTAGTTAGTTTTTAACCCATTTCCTAGGAAAGAGTAGTCAAGAAACAAGAATTAGAAGCCACATAAAAAAAAAAGGAATGCGAAGGGCAAGAGAGGATGTTTTTAAATAGTGCTGTTTGTTAGTGATGGTAAATGTATTGTTTCCCGTGGCGTGCAGAGCTGAGGTTGGAAACCTTCCGCAGGTAACTTTATAAGGCTCAGGTGCCTGGACCAGTCCCAGCAGCCAGGGGGCGCGTGCCCTGGGAGAGCGTGAGGCCACCTGCGCCTGCGGACTCTCACTGGTGCTGGAATGGGCGTGGGTCTGACTCCTGCCAAAGACAGTTCTCCCCAGGCTGGAGAGAGGGCACATGACCGGGGTCGGGGGTGGAGGAGCTTCAAGGATGGGGGTGAGCTTTGGAGACAGCGTGCCTAAGGGACCCTGAAAATAGGCCCCACGTGCCATCGTTGTCACGCTTGCTGTGGGCCGCAGACACCTACTCTTGGAGCTTCCAGCCTCGTCCCTGAGGCATGAGGAGCTGCGGGCACCTGGCTTGTATCAGCGGGTGGTTCACAGGCTGCTACACAGCCAGGGAAGCAGCACAGGTTAGATGCCCTGCCAATGACAGGGAAGCCAAAGGCAAGCAGACTCAAAGCTGGCATTTCTCAGAATGTTCAAATGCATCAGCAGTATTTATGCTGTTCCTACTTACTGTGATTTGACAGATGACTAACATGTCAGTAGCAAATATGGGAAAATATGGTGGATAATTTATAGGCCAGAAAGGATACGTGTTTTTTTCCAGAACTCACCTGAAATTACAGACGTTTCAAGAGTTTTACCTGTGACATTTTTCTGGGCCTGCCATCTCTCCAGGCGAAAATGAAGGTTGGGCCTAAGAGCTTCTGATTTGGGGTGGGTTTTGTTTGTTTGTTTTTGGTCTTCTTGATGACAAGTAGTAAAGCCATAGGAAACAGAATTCTCAGTACATATTTCAATCCTCCAGCGCTAGGTGTTGAGCTTCATAAAACCCCAGCCTACCTGTTGTAGATTTCTTCTCTCCCATTTCTTGATTTCTATCCTGCATTTATAGATGGAAACCAATAACTTTGTGTTAGTTAATCTTCACTGATATCAAAATGATGGGGAAAACATTCATTGCAGCACGATTTTAAAAGAAACACTTTACTATGAAAATAAAATCTGCTTACACTTGGCACAAACCCATGCCCACAGTGAGTGTTCAGTAAATGATGGTTGAAACAAGTTGTAGAAGGCGGGGACATGGGGCGCTACCACCAAAACACAAGCAACCAACCTCCCCATGTGTCGTGTTTTTCCATGTCGGGGAGCAAAATCAAGTCAAGTGAACATGTGGGTAAGGTGTGTCCTTAAGCTTCAGAGGAAGGTGTATGACTTCCTAGTCATTCTTAAGGCATGAGGTTTGGCCATCAGATTACTCAGTAGTCACTGTTGTATGCAAAGTATGATTCTGCCAGTAGCAGAATATTTTCAGCCTGTGTGGCAATGTGGTAAAACAGATCTAGGAAGCTATGCCTCAACTACATTTAGATGTAAAATAGTTGCTTTCTAGCTAGTAGACAACGTGGGTTCTTAAATTTGACAACCACAGTAAGAGAAAAATAAGTATCCTGCTAAACTGGATTTCAGCAGCGTATCAAAGTAGTTTGCAAGGTTTGGGGGAAGAAGGCAAAACATCAGTCGATGCTGTGCCAAGGGGAAAGCTGGCCGTGCCACAAGTTAAGAAACAGTGGATGAATCCATAGCATTCTTCAAGGCAAACCTTGAATCCATTAAGACATTCTGCAGAAGAGCAGTTATAACTTCCAGTTTAAAATAATATTTATAAGATTGGCTTGCTTGGCATCAAAATCAGTTTCCTAAAAGTGCGTGCAGGCCTCTTTGGGTAGCTTCCATAAAGAGAAGAACTTCGAGAATACGTTTCTGGATCCTGAGAAAGCCGTTACCTCCCTCTCCCTGAGGCTTCCCTTCCTCCGTCCCTGAAGGCCCTCGTCACAGCCTAAAGCAGTGACTGTCCAACCCCGGAGGATGCTTGTTCCCAGGAGTCACGGGCAATATTTAGAAATATAATTGTTATCACAGCTGCCAGGAACGGGTGGCCTGGGGAGAAACGGGGTGCTGTTGGCTACCAGATATTGAATACTTGTCAATATCAAAGTTTCTGCTGAGAACAGGGATGCTGGTGAGCATCCTACAATGCACAGCACAGCCTCATAATAAGAATTATCTGGCCCCAAATATCAACAGTTGAGAGAATGAGAAACACGGGCCTGGAGGGGTAAATGGGGCGGGTGTGTCCATGTGTGCAGGGCTGGCACACAAGTAGAATACGGCCAGGCTTGAGGCCTACAAGGCCTCTGAATCCCACGTAAGCTGGTACCTTACAGATCAGCAGCTCCAGGAAAGAAGTTCAACATCCAAACTGGATGTGAGGAAAGCTCAGAAGGGATTTTTTAAAACTCTTTGCTCTACCCCAGCTCCTCAAGTAAAAGTTCCACAGCGAGCATGTGGCAAACAATCGGAGGGATCGTTTGTTATGTCCTGAGGTTTTAGAATTGTGGCTGTGCCTTGGCCTAGGATTCTTCACTACTGTGTGGATCACTTCCATGAGCTGCTTCTTTTGTCCGAAAAGTTTTGACTGTATATTTTAACAATGGCTATACGTGGGCATTATTTATTTATTTTTTTCTGGGGACTATATCTCTGTTTCTTTAGATCTTTATTGTTGAGAATATTACAGATGTCTCCCTCCCCCCTCCTCCCCATTAAACCCCTTCCACCCAGTTCCCACCCCACCCCAGGCCTTCACCAACCTATTGTCTGTGTCTATAGGTAATGCATATCTATAATCTATAATAATAAAAGCATAATATGCTAATTAGACTGGATGTCCTTCTGGACGACCTTCCAGATGAAGCCAGGGCTGCGAGGGAAGCCTGGGTCCCGGGTGCCAGAGGGGCTGGTAGCCGGGGGAAGGAAGGCCTACTCTTGCATGGATTTCGTACATCAGGCCTCTAGTATGCATATAAATTCTTTGGTTAATTTCTTCCAGCCCCACCCTTTCCCTCTGAGATTCGTCAGTCTGTTCCTGTTTCCATGCCTCTGGTTCTATTTTATTTATCAGTTTATTTTGTTCATTCCTTGTTCATTTATTTTGATCTTTAGATTCAATTGTCAATAAATATGTATTCATTGACATTGGCATTGTATTGTTCACATTTTTCTCCTTCTCCTTCACCTCCTCCTCCTTCTTCTTCCCCTTCTCCTTCTCCTTCTTAAAGAATACTCTGCAACATTTCATGTAATTCTGGTTTGGTGGTGATGGGCTCTGTTAAATTTTTCTTGTCTGTGAAGCTCTTTATCTGACCTTCAATTCTAAATTACAGCTTTGCTGGGTAGAGTAATCTTGGTTGTAGGCTCTTGCTATTCATGTTTCTTGCCACTCCCTTCTGGCCTGCATAGTTTCTGTTGAGAAATCAGCTGACAGTCATATGGGCACTCCCTTATAGGTAACTGTTTTTCTCTTGCTGCTTTTTTTTCTCTCTTTGTCTTTTGCCCTTGGCATTTTAATTATGATGTGTCTTGGTGTGGTCCTCTTTGGATTCCTCTTATTTGGAGTTCTCTGTGCTTCCTGGACTTGTAAGTCTATTTCTTTCATAGGAGAAGTTTATTATTTTTATTTTTATTTTTTAAATCCTCACCTGAGGATGTTTTATTTTATAATTTATTTCAGAGAGGGGGAGAGAGATAGAAACTTCAATAATGAGAGAGAATCATTGATCGGCTGCCTCCTGCATGCCCCACACTGGGGATCGAGCCTGCAACCTGGACATGTGCCCTTGCCTAGAATCGAACCTGGGACCCTCCAGTCTGCAGGCTGACGCTCTAGCCACTGAGCCACACCAGCTAGGGCGGTAGGGGAACACTTTTGTCATTAGTTCTTCAAATAAGTTTTCAATATCTTGCTCGCTCTCTCTCTCTCTTCTCCTTCTGGCACCCCCATAATTCAAATGGTGATATGCTTGAAGTTGTCCCAGAGGCTCCTTACACTATCTTCCTATTTGGGGATTTTTTTTTTTTTTTCTCTTCTGATTGGGTGTTTTTTGGTTCCTCATATTCCAAATCATTGATTTGATTCTCAGAATCCTCTACTCTATTGTTGAATCCCTGTAAACTATTTTCACTTCATTTAGTGTATATTTCCTCCTAACTGGTCCTTTTTCATGTCTTTGAAATTCTAAGATCCTTGAAAGTCTCACTAAGTCCCTTGAAGCTCTCATTAAGAACCTTGAGTTGTTTGTAGGTAAGTAATGGAGTCTTTATTTAGCATTCACAAGATTTAGGGGACTTCAGCCTAGTTTTATTTTCACATACCTGTGATCACTTACGGCAAGTACCTCCTCTCTTGAAAAACCATACGCACACTTACTTCTCTTTGTCCACCTCGCCCCTACCTCTCTGGCCACAGCTGGAAAGGTGTGTTCTTTGCCAGTCTCTCTGAGGCAGGTCACCACCTCCTTTTATGAATGGTAACCTGCCACAGTAAGCCCACTTGAAGCGGGTTTGGCTCAACTAAAACTTCAACCAGCACCCGAGGCTTTCAAAGTACACCTCCTAGGTCAGCGATGGCGAACCTTTTGAGCTCGGCGTGCCAGCATTTTGAAAAACCCTAACTTAACTCTGGTGCCGTGTTACATAGAGAAATTTTTTGATATTTGCAACCATAGTAAAACAAAGACTTATATTTTTGATATTTATTTTATATATTTAAATGCCATTTAACAAAGAAAAATCAACCAAAAAAATGAGTTCGCGTGTCACCTCTGACATGCGTGTCATAGGTTCGCCATCATTGTCCTAGGTACTGGGGGTTCCAGTCATGTTGGTAGATACCACACAAGAAATTTTAAGCAGATAAGGCCCTATTTAGCAAAACTACCTACCAACATCCTTCAAACAAAAGGCAGGGGGAAAATAGCAACAGCCCACATAATTAATCTGTACAGAATCACACAAGATGTTTTTAAACAGTGATGATCACAGAGGGCTGGCGCTGGATGGGGCCCCGGGTGCTGCTCAGGTGGTGCATGGCGTAGCGGTGCTGGCTTCCTTCCTGTTCTCTCTCTTGCTTTGTTTGGTGATGAAGAGATGAAGGCTCGGGGAGAGGAAGGAGCTTGGACAAACGGATACAGGGGAGCCGAGCAGAGTCAGAACTGGAAAAGCAATGGCCGTCTTCTCCCATATGCATTAAAGGCTGAAACCCAGACTGTGATCGTTATGTGGACATGGTTCCCACTTTTCCCCGTGTTTTCTTCTCCTCCCCTTATTGTTTAACCCAACTTTCCTAGTTCATTTCACAGACTATTTTGGAAATTAGAAAGCGTATTTTTAATGCAAATAATACCTTTTAAAAAAAGGTGGTAAACACCCACAGCATCTTCATGCTTAATGACTTGATGCCAACTGTCTGTATTCATGGCTATTTTTGGATCTATAAATGTCATTTGTCTATTCATATACATTTGTATTCCTGATTTCCAAATCGAGTTGTTTTCCCTCACCTCCCACAAAACAGTGCTCCTGACATTTTGGTAGCGTGGCCATAACTGCACGGTCCCATCAGGGGAGTTAGTGGTATGTACAAGTTTTTGGTGAAGGTGGCTAAGTAGTTTTCTTCCAGGGCTGCCATCTTTCGCAAGAAAATGGAAAGACAAGCAGGCAGTGCTTTTCTTCAGAAGAGAGAGCTATATCTAAAAAAAAAAAAAAAATAGGAAGCATCTCAGGCTTGAGGCACTCTTCTAGAGGATTCTTTCCTGCGCTGCTGTGCAGAGAGCCCTAGCATGGGACATAAGCCCGGCTTCCTTTAAATGTGTTTATGTAAACCTTATTCTTTATTTACTGTAATCACCACCTGAAATACGTAAGTAAAGCACACAATTTATCTTAATTTTTCCTCTTTTTATTTTTTTATTTTCATTGGTTTCAGAGAGGAAGAGAAGGGGAGAGGGAGATAGAAACATCAGTGATGAGAGAGAATCATCGATCGGCTGCCCCCTGCATGTCCCACACTAGGGATCGAGCCGGCAACCCAGGCATGTGCCCTGACTAAGACTCGAACTGTGACCTCCTGGTTCATGGTCGATGCTCAAACACTGAGCCACGCCGGTTGAACTCAATTTTCTTTTCTAATCCTAGGCAGGGATTAGTCATTTCCTCCTCTGCATTTCCCTGTAACATCTTGTATACATGTCCAATGTAGAGTAATGATTGGTTTACAGGCCTAGTCATGGTTGCCCACCCTCCGGACTTACAGCTCTTCATGGGCAGACATGGGAGCATCCGTGTGCTCTGTGTCTAGTCCAACACCTGCAGAGAGTGGGCACTCCAGAGCTGTCTGCTGAATCGCCACAAACTCCCTCACAGCAATAACGTGTCATAGTCCAGTGGCCATGGCCAGGACTAGGCCTGTCAGTGAACCATCTCAGTCTCCAGGCCCCCAAGCCTCATGGAGCTTCCATGAGCAGCAGCTACTGTGTGTTCGGGAAGATATGTGAAGCGCTGCGAGTCGGAACGGCCACACCCTGACTGATACGAAGACCTTCCGAGGCTGTGCGTTATGGTAACCCTCAGAAACCCTCCTCACTACGTGAGAAAACAACTCTTGCACTGCCTGCGTCGGAATGCTTGAAAGGTTCCGAAAGGCCATACATACACGTGCGCACACATGCCATGTACACACACGCACACAGGCACACACACAGGCACACACACGCACACAGGCACACAGGCACACACACAGGCACACACAGGCACACAGGCACACAGGCACACACACAGGCGCACACGCACACACGCACTGTGAGCCAGCATTGCCCCTGCAGTATCAGGAGCCTCCTGACCTGGAATCGCACCGCGTGGGGCTGAAGCACAGCGGTGAGTGTAAGAGGCACTTTCCCAACAAACCCTTTGAACATGTTCATCGCGCTCAGCAGCAGCATCAGATCCGATCAGGCAGCCCTGCCAGAGCTGCCTCCACTCTTCTCTGTAATTGGGCTCTTTGTTGGCACACTGTGTCACCCCCGAGGAGAGGTCATTAGAGGCACGCTCTCCTGGCGGGAATCACACCCCCGGCCCTACACGCGTGAGGGCAACTGGCAAAGGAAGCAGTTCTTACCCTCATGGCGATGCAGAGGGAACGCGCAGTGCCTGGATCCCACTCGTTTCCATTGTTCGTCACCGTGTTCTTGGCACAGTCTTGCTGAGTCCATGAGCGTCTGTGAGAGTTATCACCCCCCCGTCCGCCGCCGCCTCTGTGGAGCTCTGTGCGGTGGGGGTTGTCTTACAGGCCAGGCTGTTGTCCAAGGCGGGGACGGTGTCGAGAACTGTGGAGAGTCTGGCATTGTCCTCTACATGCAGGTAAATGAGTTAACCTGCCACGGCGGTATGTGTTCTGGTAGAAGAAACGAGAACATTAACATCAGCGACAAAAGAGTTTATTGCTCACAGAGGTAGTAGATGAATCGGCCAGGCTGGCCTGGGGAGGCCCTGGGGAAAGAGGTAAAAGCGTCCTGCCTGGGAATGGACAGGGGAGGGTCAGACATTTCCCGATAAAACTCTCCCTTCCTCCCCCTCGCATCCTCGCACTCCCCAGGGATCAGTGAGAGGAAAGGACCCTCCTGGAAGGGGTGCACTCATCGACCAGGAGGAAGAGAGGGGGCTGGATGGGAGGCAGAGCCAGGTGCCGGGGAGGCCACTTCAGCACTCAGCCTGCTGTCCGTGGCGGCAGGAGCAGGGAAGGCCCGTCAGATGCCCGACTGCCCGCTGGTTGCGGAGAAGCTGGTGACAAAGGCCACCACTGCAGCTGCACCCGACCCCGACACCAGGCACTCGACATGGGGCTGTGTCGAGGCCACCGTGCTGAGGCCAGAGTTGGCTGGTCAGATGGGAGCAAACACCATCCCCTGGAACCGTATCCAGGCAGCGAGGCCCGGTGGACAGCCCTGCGAGGGGTCAGAGGTCAAGTGTCGCCCTGTGATGCGTTCCTCCCTCACTGCGAGACAGAGGGGTCCGTTTGGGGCAGGAGTCTGAGCCTGCAGGAACATGGGGGCCCTCGCGCCGCGCCGTCTGCGATGGCGCAGACGTTTCTGTGCAAGTGTGGGGACAGTCTCACGGCGTGGGCCGCCTCCAGCATGTGCTGAGTGCTGCTCCCGGGGCACCTGCTTCCCTGGGCATCGCTGACACTGTTCTGTGGGGACGCCCAGGCTGCTGGACGCCCAGGGTGCCCTGCCAGGGTGCCGGGCAAGGGCCTGGTGAGGAGGAGGGGCGGCTGGGGGCCTCCCTGGGACTGCAGTCAGCTGTGCCCTGTGCACCGACTCATGCACCCGGCCCAAGGCTGCCTCTGCCCCAGCAAGGGAGCACCCAGGCCTCCCCCAGGGACCTGCTCCTTCCTCACTGCACCGCCCCCTCCCCCCCAGGCCCACGGCGCCCTGGACTGCGGAGGCCCTCCAGTCCCAGTGCTGAAACTCCAGGGCACCAAGCAATCCTGTGACAGTTTAAAGATAAATAAAAGATGGCGTTACTTTATACAGTGGGTAGTAAACATATGGAACTCGTTACCCTCAAGATGTTGCATGGTCCACAAATATAAATAGGGTAAAGCAGCTTCGGATACATGCACGCTTGCTGCGCTCGGGGGAGCTGCTCCGGCATCGTTAGGCACACACAGGCAGCGTCTCCCAGTGCCTCCAGGGACAACGCCACGCTCGTCCTCAGAATGTCTTGGTGCCAGTGCCACCGCCTGCACAGGCACGTCGCCGGCCGCCAGGTTTCTGGGGGAGATGAGCACCCACAATACCAGCGTGTTCCGGTAACTGAGGGCCGACTGCTGCGCAGGTCCATCCATCAGCAGGCCGCGTAGAAACCTTTCTCCATGGTGTATGCCCTCCGCTGGGACCTTAACCTGAGTTGGCCACATTGTGAAACTTGTCCTGGGCTGTAAGGCGGCCCCGGGCACCGGCCGACACGCGGCACTAAGCACAGCCTGGCCCCAGGGAGCTGCGGGTCGCTCTTTTCATTCTCAGTGTCGGGACTGCTCTCCTCCCCGGGCCTTCAGCTTCTGCTTCCACTGATGGGAGTGGCCTTGCAGGACCACCCCCCTCCCTCCCGATGTGTGCTCCCTACTCCGACTTCAGAGGGAGGCGCCCCACTTCCTCCCTCCCATGTCACCCTCTCCGCTGTGACACAGGCCTCTCTTCACTGAGGGGCAGCCCAGGCTGTGCGTTCCGCAGGCTCCTCTGACGCTGGGTAAACGCGGGAGAGAAGTGCAGCGTGTGCTGCTGCTGGCTCTGGGTTCCCACAAGCGCACCCCGCACCAGGTAGGCCCCGACAGACAGCCGGTTGGGGTCAGAGCCCAAAGAGAAAAGATGAGAGTCCCTCTGGGGAAGGCGTGTTCTAAGCAGGGAGGGACCAGCAGGTGAGAGGGACTAGAACAGACTTGGTCCACTTGACAGTGTAGTCTGGGGTTCCCAGGAAGTCCCTGCCATTCACACACCCTCAGGAGACCCCAATCCAGCCCACACAGATCTCCCATCCCCTCCTGCTCACCCCTGAAAAGAGCCAAGTCGTTTTTTAGATGTCCCTCAAAGCGCCCCCCCCCCCCACTTTTATACTTTTCATTATGTGACTCCATAGATGCACAGGATTGATCTCACCTCCCTGCTGCAGTGAGCGTCCAGGAGAACAGATGGGCACCCAGACTCCCTCCCGCTCTCCTCCACAGCCTGCTCCCAGGGCCTCAGGACAGGCGTGGTCCACGCCTCTTAGGAACATGGAGTCTCAGACCTCGCTCAGACCTGCCGGAGCAGAGCCTGCCTTTTACCAGGTCCCCGGGGCGTTAAAATGCACAGTCACGTTTGAGAAGCCTTATCAAGGGTGCCCGGAAAGCTAAGGTAGCTCTGCAGACTCCTGTACATGCCTCAAACATGCACCCAGCGTGCACCGGAACCGGGCCAACAAGCACCTGGAAGTTGTATCGCTGAAGAGAAGACGTCCGCTTGCTCTCGGCACCACGCCACGCTGCACCGGATCGCTCGCAGAAAGCCGGCTATTCAGGAAGGACTGGTGAGCTCCAGCCTGTTTCTATTAACTACTTCTCCCTGCTCCATCGCATGGCCCTCTTCTCCGTGTCCACTGGTGTCGGGGTTCCTGTGGAAGACTTGAGCCCCAAGTTCTCTCTGCATGTATGTACTAGGCATACAACCTGTCCATTAACAGTGCTAATTACACAAGACGGTCTTTGTTAGTTGACCACTATAACACCTTATGTGTTTAAGGTACTTTAATATTTGAAATAATTCTGTATTGCTTAAAGCACCGTGCAGTCCTAGAATCGTGACATCTTAGAGTTTTTGCATAACTCTTCAGGGAATTCCCCCTAAACACCCAACAACTGGCCCTCTTCCTTCTGCTTGAGTACTCCTAAAGACATGACACATGCCTACCTCCTCCTACATCAATCTCTTCTAGGTTTGAACAATTCTAAGTCGTAGAAGTTCTTTCTCGTGCTGGTTTAGACTTGGTCACCCATTGGTCTCTATCATGATTGTTCATTGCAGTTGTGAATTCTAGACCGATTTTCCTTAGCTGGTTCGTATAGTTCTTTTTGTTACGAGGAAAATTGGGAGCAGAGGCACAGAAATGTCATAGTAGGTTCCAAAGGCCCCCAGAAAGCTCGCAGAGAAACCAAGACTAGAAAGTATTTCCTTCTACGTAACTTACAGTCTGTTCACCGGACTGTCTGCCAAGAAACCCTGCTCTGTGACCAGCGCTGTGATAACACGCAAGGAAAACATCGGTTCCTGGGAAAGACCGTGGAGAGGGTGCGGTGAACACCCAGAAGCTGTCCCTCCCTTCGTGGGTCAGACATCTGGCCAGCAGCCCGGTGGGAGCTGCCGCCAGAATCCACCATGGGGATCTGAGCCGTTCCCACACGGAGACTGGCCTCTGGCAGCTGACAGTTTTCCTTTGTGCGAAGGGTGTTCCTGGCTCTCCATCAATTCCTCCCGCTCTGCACTCCTTTCCCGCCACCCCCGCACTCCACGCCCTGCTGCACACACCCTCCCACTCCCGCATCAACACAGCCCCTCCCTGGGGTGCATTCTGCACACACAGGCCCCCACACTTCCTCTGCCCACGCCCACAGGGCGCTGCGAGGCACCCCTCCTTCCCCCACCAGCCTCCTCACAGCCCTCAGTGCCCTATCTCTGCCCAGTTTCCTCCCCTCCTCACTATCTCTGCTTCATTGTGTGGTTTCCCTCCTGGCGCCTCGCTGGCCCGCCCCCCTCTGCGCCCTTTGCCTGGCCGGGAGCCTGGCACCGGCTCCTGTCCTGTACATTGGAATCCGAGCCGTCACCAGCCGGAAGGTAGTCAGCCTGCGTGTGCCTGCCTGTTCCTCACCCACAGCGAGGCCACCGCGGAGGGTGGGAAGGAGCTGGCAGTCAGTCCTATTTCTGGAAACGATAGAAACTCCTGTTCCCCAACCCCCCCCCCCCCTTTATTCCCAGGGGAACCAACAGAGGCGGCCTGAGGGTAGACACCGTCTTTCCTCCTTCCCTCTCACTCTGTTGCAGATTTCCCATCCCTTCTTCAGAGGCCCTGGCAGTGTGCTTGATGGAATCGCTCACATCCTGTCTAGATGACAGGTTACGCAGGGCTAGGGGATCCCACAGAGGACAGACAGGACAATGAAAGAGGGAGCCCAGCCCGTTTGGCTCAGTGGTTGCGGGTCAACCTATGAACCTGGTGGTCACAGTTCGATTCCCAGTCAGGGCACAGGCCCGGGTTGTGGGCTCCATCCCCAGTAGGGGAGGTGCAGGAGGCAGCCGATCCAAGATTCTCTCTCTTCACCGATGTTTCTCCCCCTCCCTCTCTCCCTTCTTCTCTGACATCAATAATATATATATATATATATATATATATATATATATATATATATATATATATATATATACTGAGTGGCCAGATTATTATGACCACCTGACATTTCTGACGTTTGTAGGCAAATTAGCTATAATTTTGCGCTGAAGTTGCTAGAGGGCCAGACCATTATAAACGTCTGAATAGCACAACATACCTAAGTATGTGGCTGATCAAGTTCATCTTATCATGTTGATGGCGTATCCCAATGGAGATGGCTTCTTCCAACAAGACAATGCACCATGCCACAGTGCTCGTATTGTGCAGGAGTGGTTTCAAGAACATGAGGGAGACTTTACTTTGCTTAGGTGGCCCCCACCATCACCAGATCTCAATCCAATTGAGCATTTGTGGGACGAAGTTAAAAGAGCCATCAGGCAGCTGGTTCCACAACCATCAAATCTCACAGAACTGGACAGCGCTATTCATCAGGCATGGTGTCAGATTCCTCGCATCACCTTTCAACATCTCGTGGAGTCAGTGCCAAGAAGAATCGCCGCAGTATCGAAGGCAAAAGGTGGCCCAACGAAGTACTGATGGGGTGGTCATAATAATCTGGCCACTCAGTGTATACACACACGCACATATATATGAGGGGAATAAGATTGATTATGTTTAACCAGAACTTTAGCTATTTTAAATATATGCTACTCCCCTGGAATCTACATACAGAAGCCATGTTGAAAAAAATGGGCAGTCCATGAAATAGAGAAGAGGATCAGTTCGTGTCCATGCTCTGCGATGGCACCGATGGCTTCCGTGGGAGTTGGAGGTGGTCTTCTTGGGCAAACGACTTGCCACCGTTGCCTGGGTTTCTCCTTTTTCTTTGGTGATGCAGATGGTAGTTTAGCTGAATAAATGTTAAGAACAATGGGGTGTATTTTTTTCTTTCCGTACTAAGAACACAAGAATGTTTCATAACAGCTGCTGTTTACATGAACTAAATATTAAGCAGAGCCTGCCACATTGCATTGGACATGAAATAAGCAAGATAGAAATTGTTTTTGTTCATTGACAATTTACCATCTGAAAAAGATTATATCGACGGGACAAAAGGATAGATGAATAAATAGCCAGAAACTCTGATCACTTCCTTTTCACATTAAAATGGAAAAAAATTGGTCTGGCATGGCTCAGTGGTTGAGCGTTGACCTATGAAACATGGTTCGATTCCTACCCATGTTGTGGGCTCGCTCCCCAGTAGGGGGCGTGCAGGAGGCAATCGATCAATGATTCGCTCTCATCATTGATATTTCTATTTCTTCCTCTCCCTTCCTTTCTGAAATCAATAAAAATATATATTTTTAAAAATGGAAAAATTTAGTGAGTCCCTGCTTTCCAAGGAATAGAGCCCTAGGTATAAATCTGTGCCCCGTACTCCTTTTCAACCCTTGTCTTCCATTTTCCCACCAGGGTAGGGGTCTACACACTGGACTCTTTGATGCGCACACCCAGCCTGTGCTTCCCCACCACCTCCAGGCAAGGGGCCGCCATCTCTCCAGGGTATTTCTCTCGGTGCCTGACCCGCTGAGCTAGGCTGACTTTTGTAGTTGCTGAATAAGCATTTGCTGAAGGGACGCCGTCTGAGGACAGGGCAGTCCTAATTGGGGCAGAATGAGAATCTGCAGAGCCCAGAGGGTAAAGAGAAGGAGTGTCCTGGGCTCTGCCTGCCAAGTGCCTGCTTTTTATATATTTTTTGCACATTGTATTATTTTCATTCTATATTCATAAATGCATACCACTGTAGGTTTACATTAATATAAACTCACATTTAAGTCCATTATATAAATGTGTGTTTCAACTCGGGTTTTTTTTTTAATCTTTATTGTTGAGAATATTACATGGGTCCTCCTTTTCCCCCTCCCCGTGAACCTCTTCCAGCCGCTCCCGTCCTCCCCCGCCCCCAGGGCCTGCTTTCCATAAAGCCGTTGCCCTCTAAGCACGCCTGCCCCTCCACACTGTGCGTCCGTTGCCATAGCGCCCAGCAGTGTTAATGTATATTATGGCCCGAGGATGTGCTTATTCAGCCTCACGTGGCAGGCTTCACAGAACTTCGGGTTGGGTTTTACCAGAACTTAACAGGGTGCTGTCACCACACATATCCAAAACACACAGCAAACAAGTCGGCACAGCATGAGTCGAGGCCAGAGCCAGACCCCCCCATAGGTTAGTTAACTCCCCCCATCCAGTACGCTGTAGAAATACTGTGTTCAGGGGTGTATAAGCATTCACGTTTCATTCATTTTTTCCTCGTAGGGAGCCATCCATCTGTCCCTCCCACATCTCTCATCCTCTTAATGCTTGGCTGCCTTGTGTTGTTTCCTGTGTTATTTTATATCAGATTTACTAGCATCAGGACTCCCTTCCATCAGCAAGCCTAGGAAGTCTGTGCTAGTGCTAGAAATCATTATTTCCAACCATTTGGTTCAGATAACAAGAGTTCCACGGGAATAAATACAACCTGATTAAACAAGTTGTCAATAAGTTTTCATGGCCATGAGCATTATAAAAAAACTAGGGGCCCAGTGCACAAATTTGTGCATCTTGAAAGGAACTGTGGGCTGTGAGGCTGTGGTGGGCACAGTGGCAGGTCTCGTCCCATCCTCCACACCCCCACCCACTGCGGCCCCCAGTCCCCTGTCTGCTGGCAGCCCCGCTCCCACTGCTGCTCCCACATGCTGACAGCACCAGCCCCACTCGCACCCACTGACAGTGCAGGCCGATTGGGGCTGGTGCCAGCAGCGGGGCGCAAGAGGGGTTGGCGCCATCAGTGGGTGTGAGCGGTGGCGGCTGCCCTGATCACCCCTCAGGAGCAGGGGGAGGTGGAGAAGCCCTCAGGGGTGATCGGGGCCAGCAGCCACCGCTTGCACCCACTGATGGTGCTGAGTGATTGGGACCGGCGCTGGCCACCGGCAGCAGGTACAAGCACCGGCAGTAGGTGTGTGTGACCATGGTGCGTGGGAGCAAAGAATTTTCAGTAACCACCAGAGGCTCGCCCCGATGACAGTGACCGGTGCCCCACCTTGGTCTGGTGCCCCCACTCACCTGCTCCACCATCCCGCCATGGCCGAGACCCACCATGTTCCCTGCGCGCCCCTTGGTGGTCAGCGCACATCATAGCGACTGGTTGTTGGGTTCCACCGTTTGGTCTATTTGCATATTAGGGCTTTATATATATATAGATAAATCAGAAACTCTTCACCGTAATTGTGAGTACAAGTTCCTAAAATTCACAGGTGATCTTGAATATTCTTTTTAACCACTAATTTCAATTTCTGCCTTTCTTTTAACCAACACTTTTTGAAAATCAGATTCATGTAAGAGCAATTTTAATTCAATCTCATCTGACCACTTCATAGAATGAGTGAGAGACACCAACCAGCTGTGAAAAGGCTGATAAGAGAACAATGAAAGAGAAGAAAGGCTTTTGAATGCTTCTCAAACTGGATAGTCAGGTCAGGAACAGATGAGAGCTCAAAAAAATTTAACTGTTTTTTTTTTTAAAAAAACCTTTAGTAATTCTAAGTTTAGTAATTTTTTAAAGTTTAGAAAAAAGAAATTATTGTATTACACCGGTCATGGCACCTACCCAAGTTGCTGGTCAATCCCCAGTGGGTCCCCAGTTGTGGCACGTGTGGGAGGCAACGGATCCATGTTTCACTCTCACATCAATATTTCTCTCTCTCTCTCTCTCTCTCTCTCTCTCTCTCTCTCTCTCTCTCTCTCTCTTCCCTCTCCCTTCCTCTTTCTCTGAAATCAAGAAAAAGAAAAAGCATGTCCTCAGGTGAGGATTAAAAAATAAAAATAAATAATGACAGTTTGGCAGGGTGGGGACTGGGCTGGAGTGGGAGAGGAGGAAATGTTTGCTGGGGATGGTGGGAGGCTGACATTCTGGAGCCACTGTAAAGAGACAGAGTCCAGAAAGGAGCTGTCTAGAGCTGGGGGTGGAGCGGGGGTGAATGGTGGCGAGGTTGGGGTGACAGCTAAGGGGTATGGAATTTTCGTTTTCGAGGGAATGAAAATATTCGAAAATCAATTGGCGTGATGGATACACAACTCTGAATGTACTAAAAGCCATTGAGTTGTAACTTTAAATGGTTGAATTGTATGGTATGTGAATTCTATCTTCGTAAAATTGTTAAAAGAGAGACAGAGGCAGTAACATTGGGTTTGAGAAGTTACTCAATCTCATCTAACTCATTCTATTCTGACTCATTCGACTCCAATTTTGAAACCATGTTTTCCCTTTCATAAGCATATAAATCTTACCTGTTCTCAGGTAGATTCAAGCCAAGACCAGTGTAAAGGTACTTGAGTTCATGAGGTTACTTCTGGGAACAAGCAGGGGCTTGAGTAGCAAGCACCTGTGCTTTGACCCAATTTGTGTTTATCTTGCAATAAGTTTGAGAAAATAAAGATCTTGTTGCAGGAATAAATGTGAAGTTCATAAAGAAAATTCATGCAGTGATGTAAATAATCTATAATAATAAAAGCATAATATGCTAATTAGACCGGACGACCTTCCGGACGAAGCCGGGGCTGTGAGGGAAGCCCAGGTCCTGGGTGCTGGAGGGAAGCCAGGGTCCCAGGTGCCATAGGGAAGCCGGGGCCAGCAGCCAGGGGAAGGAAGGCCTACTCTTGCACGAATTTCGTGCATTGGGCCACTAGTAAAAAATAATGCCATAAACTTTCAAAGACGAGGGGAAAAAATAAAGAAGGGAAGAATCACAGCAGGTGTGGATCCCAGCTCTGCAACTTTCTAGCTGGATGTTAAGTAAAACACTAACCCTTCTGGGCTTTGTTTTTCTCCTCTGTAAGACGGAGGCTTCCTGATATGCAAGGTTGTTCTGAAGATTAGAGGTAATGTATACAAATGCCTGGCACATAGAGGACCCTGAATTAACCCTAGTAATTATTATCATACAGGGCATGTTATTTTATCTGTCCTGGAAATGCCTGCAGCAGTCAGGGTCGGCAAGGTTATGCTGAGGTAACAAAGAATACCACAGTCTCAGTGGCTTAAAAAAATGCCAACCCCAATATTTATTTTTTACTCCATTTTCCTACTCCTCATAGGTCAGCTTAGGGCCCCGCTTGTGCCTTCCTTATTCTAGGACTCATTTAGAGAGCTTGGATGGTCCAGAACACTTCAGATCACAGGGCAGAGGGAATAAAGAATGTGGCAAATCCCACACGGATTCTTAAAATGTGTGCCTGACATGGACACGTTGCACTGCCTCCACGCTCCAGCTGAAGCTAGTTACATGGCCACGTCTGTCTTCACGGGAGCAGGAATTACATTTTCTAACATGTGCATAGGAGATAATAAAAGAGATTATTTGTCAACAGCCCTAGTGATTGCTACGTAACTCCTGAGGGAAATATTTTTTATTTTAAAACAAGACATCTGTGGCCCAGGGCGAATAAGTACTTGCCTCCTATATAGGTAGGAAATGGCAAAATAAGAGATTCAAACCCAAGTCTGTGTTGTCTCCTGATCATTCCAGTGAGACCTGGAAACTGAAACTGTTCTACCCACAAAGCCATGTGAATATGTCTCCCTCTCCACAGTTATAGAAAAAAATTGCATATTTTCTTTGGGAACAAACTGGTACTGCCTTCTCAGAAACCAATTTAGAATAAAAACATTAAGAATCATAAACTGTTCACACACCCTTTGACCCAAGAAATCTAGTTCTGGGAATTTATCCGAAGGGAATCATCCCAAGAAGATGAAAAACTTACACTCATGAAAGGATCTATTGTGACACTGTTTATGATAGTGTAGAACTGGAAAGAATCTCCATTTTTGACAAAAGGGAGAGTTAAAGAATGTATTGATTATATACTCAATGAGTTATTATAGTTATCCTTGATGATAAAAGGCTAATATGTAAAATATCCCCTCGACCGGGAGTTTAACCAGGAGTTTGACCAGGGGGCAGGGCCAGCTGGCGAACTGCCCACGGCCACTACCCCCGGTCAGCCCGGCCAGCCTGGCCCAATTGGCCTTGATCAGGGCAGGCCGGCCGGACACCGCCTGTGCACGAATTCATGCACTGGGCTTCTAGTCTATATATAAAAGAGTAATATGCTAAGTGTCCCTCCTACCATCTGACCGGACGCTATGACATGCACTGACCACCAGGGGGAAGACACTCAATGCAGGAGTTGTAGAGCTGCAGTGACTTGGCAGTGGTGGTTCTCGGGTGATGCACCCCAAAACCAGAGAGGAGGGAGCCTGATTCTTCGTGGGGCCATGTGATTCCACCTTCAGTCATGGGTTATGTTGTTGCTGGGGCACTGTTGTTCCTGAAGCTGATTTACTGCACACGTGCATCTGTGTTCCACACCCTGTATGACAGCAAAATTGCAGAGTGCCCTCTCACACTCCGGGTCCCCTTGGGGGATGTTGGAGAGCAGGTTTTGGCCCAATCCCTGCAGGCCAGGCTGAGGAACCCCACCTGCTGGAGGGACCCCGCTCACTCCGCAGACGCCGGGGAGGGACCGTGGGAGGTTGGCTCCAGGGCATGTCCAGCCCGTCTTGCCCAGTCCCGCCCCGCCGGCCACCTTCTAATTAATTTCCTTTCATTGTGCACGAATCCATGCACCGGGTCACTGGTAACTTTATAATTAGGAAGACTATGTAGTAACATGAAAACAGCCTTTTGCTATAATGTTAAGTAAAAAGCACAATGCAACTGTTCTCACTATAAAGCAGCTGTGTGATCAATTTGTGTGACGAAGGCTAACACACCCCATATTTGTTCTGCCCTTTTTCCTTTTAGTGATCGAGCCCGTGTCCAGGTTAAGCGGCAGGGACAGCGAGCATGGACCACACTTCCCAGCCTTCCTGAATCCAGGTATTGTCATGTGACCAGGTTCATATATCTTAAACTTAAGTGAAAGATATATGAACAGCTAACACTTGTTGAGCACTTAGTATTTCCACACACGATTCTAAGTGTATTTACATGTATTACCCGTGTTCACTCATTTACTCCTCTCAAGTCCTGTTAGCTACACTGCCTTAATCATGAATCATCAAATCTAACAAAACATATAATCAAGACTTCAAATAATGAATTTGCTCATTGGTCTTCCTTAATGCTTCTGTCAGCCTTTTTAGCCGTGTAGATAAAATAACTAGTTGACAGATTGATTTTGTTTGAAATGAATTACACGGCAGTTACTAAAACAGATTGTAAAGACTGCTGTTCACAGAGCAATTCATTCTTCTCTCAATCAGTGCAACTCCCATTCTAAGCTGGACATACTGCCACCTAGCCACAAGACCACAGCATGGAACCACCTATGCAGCTACATGGGCTGTGACTAAGTTCCTCACAGTGAGACCTAAATGGGAATAGGATGGTGACTTCTGGGCCATCTCCCTAGAGAAGAAGGGCTCACCCTTCTCCTGCTCCTCCATCCTGCTCTCTGGGGAGTGGGTGTGCTGGCTTGCATTCCCTGAGCTGAGACTCACGCCTTAGCAGTGTAAAGAGCAGCAGCTGAAAGCTGTGGCATCGTCCGTGAGAAGCCACTGCTAGCCTCGGGCTAGCTCTCTCCAGACTTCTTTTCACAGGAAAGAGTAATGACCTGTTTAAACTACTATCTTGAGGTCTCTGTTAAGTTACTAGTAGCTGAACTTAATCCAAACTCATATGTAAATAAATCTAAGCTCACGTACTTCCCATTCAGACGTGTGGGACATCAAAATGTCACATAAAGACTTTAATTTAACTTCTCTTGTAAATGTCATAAGGAAGTAACTGAAGAAGACTTTACTTCAATGGCTATCGATTCTTATAATGGGTTTGTAGGCATCTGTTTAAGGCAGTGTTTCCCAGCCTTTCTTATGACGGAGCACAAGAAAAACAATCGTTGTACAGTACCCTGCAAACTGTGGCCCTTGGTCAGAGGCTGCGGATCCGGGCTGTTTGCCTGTTCCAAGAAATGGGGGGCTCAATGCCTCAGTCCCCCCCCCCCCTAACCTGTTCACCGCAGCCCAGCTCTAAGGGCATTCCACAACTGGTGGGCTGCTTCCGGTTACTAGCAGATAAAATTCGAATCCAGAACCCACTCAATAATCATTACGGCTTGAGAAAGGCCAAGTGAGCAAACTGTGCCTTGTACTTCATTGTTGAAAAAATGCACTCATTGAATGGTTAGTCGGATTACATGTTTCTTATTTCGCATAGAGTATTTTTTAGATGACTTCGTTATTCACATGTACACTGAGCATGCTTTTCGTACCCAAGGTGTAATGAAAGGGTCTTGTGAATCAGGGACAGAGAGGGTTTCAAACAATGAGACGTTACCACTGAAAACTAGTGCCTGGCTTTATTTGTAAGAGGGAAAAGGGAACTTTTATTGATCATTTTCAATCTACCAGAAGCTTCCAAAGTGTGTTTTTTCATGACCTCTTTATTTTAAAGATTAGGGACCTACAAGCAGCAGGACTAACATTCAAAGGCCTTCCTATGTGTCTACATGCCTGGATTTATTCCTTCGAATTCATCTACAAAACCCAGAGGTTTCATAGTGCGTGTGCCATCGACTCCACTCCTGCTCCCACAGAGACAACCACTGTCGAGCTTTGCCCTTTAGCTTTCGGGTGGTTCCCCCATGTCTCAGAAATAACATGCCTACGTTGTCGTTTTCCTTTCTAGAGTTGTTCACATTTCATTTAAGTTTAGAGGCCAAAATATATCTCTTCAAAGCCGTAAAGAGAAGGAGCAGCCCCGTTCCCTGCACAGCCTAGGAGCGCGAGCTCATTGCCATTCCCCAGAGCAACATGCTCGACGAGGCGGGCTATGCCTTCTGGTCTTTATCGCCACACTTCTACCTGCTATGTCGTGATTTTTCAAGGTTCTACATTGTATCTAGAAAGATACGGATTTAGTCTCTCATGTGCTCCTCTTCTTCTCCCCGTATAGTTCTACCACGTTTTTCTCTGATCACTATTCAGTGTTTGCATAATTAAGTAAATATCATTTAAGGCTGAGGCTTGTAATGTACTATGATTACGTTGAGTTTCTTGGTACATAATTGCTTTCCCTGGCATTGATAATTTTCTTATTTTATTTGTATGCTCACTTTGCTATTGACCTGTCAAAAATTAATTACCCATTCTTTTCCAGAAATGTAAATCTCTCGGCACATCCTGCCAGGCCCAAGGTCACACGTCCTGGGACGGCCACAGCCAGGGAGAGGGGATGTATTAGTCTGCTAGGGCTGCCACAGCAAAATACCCCGACTGGGCGACTTAAACAACAGACACTTATTTTCTTTTCTCACAATTCTGCGTGCTGGACGTCCAGGACCAGGCTGCCAGCAGTTGGTTTTCTAGTGGGGCCTCTCTCCTTGGCTTGCAGATGGCCACCTTCTGGCTGTGACCTCACGTGGCCTTTTCTCTGTGGATGCACGCCGCTGGCGTTTCTTCCTTTTCTTATAAGGACACCCACCACAGCGGATCACTGCTCTACCCTGCGGGCCTCATGTTAACTTCGTCACCTCTTTGAAGGCCTCAGTCCCAAATCAAGGCTAAAGGGGCTAAAAGCCTGGCCATCCTGGCCTGTCGTGGGACAATTCTGAAGAGCCACCCAGCTTCAGTGTTCCCTGTGGACTTGGCTGAAAAGGTCCCTGGGCCTTGAATCACAGTCCCACTTCTTCCTTCTATGAGTGCTGGTCCCAAGGGCATGCCCCGTAAACATTCTGAGCTCAACTCTGCCTCAGGGTCTGCTTCCTGGGGAACCCAGCCCGTGACAGTGTTGGTTCTGACTCACTAAACTGATTCCATAGCCCCCTGATCATAACTGATTTCATGCCCCACAGTTTGAAAGACACGGGCCTCGAGGTTCGTTGGCTGGTTAACGAACAGCGCTTTGGTTGTGTGGCAGGGGAGGGAGCACAGGCCTCCAACCATTACCTTGTAGACTCCCAGCTCCTCGAGCTGTTCACACCCCAGGCCTTGTCCATGGCTTCTATGAGGCCCAGTTTCTCGGATGCTCCGGCCTTTCCCACTGTGTATCTCCAGGAAATCATCGTCCCACTGCCCGTCCTTCTGGGGCGTAGCCTGGCTGCTGACTTTCTGTGCCTGGGGGCACAAGACCAGCTGGCTATCCCGTCTATAAGCTTTCAATTTATCTCATGCTTTGCAACCCACCCCCTCACCCCGCCTTTGTCTTATTTCCAGTACCCCCCATTGTTCTATTCTTTTTCCATCAGATATTTGTTGCTACCTCTCAGCCATCGTAACCCCTGTCTTGGCCTCTCCTGGGAGGAGCTATATACCTATGCTCATTCCACCATCTTTAGCTAGAGGCCAGCAACTAGAAATGTCATGGCCATCCTAGCACCACTGTCACTGCGGAATGGACAGGAAGTGCTCTAAGAGGAAATGTGATTGACGAGAGAAAGTGGCAAATGCATAGGCGAGCAGAGCCAGCATGACGGAAATTCGACGAAAAGAGTATTTCTCTTCAACATAAAGAGTAAGATGCTGGTGATAAAAACAATACGATGGGCCCTCGGGTCAGTGCTGACGACAGAAATGACCCGGATAGGAAGCAGTTTCCCAGTCGTGGACTCAGCGCCCTCCACGGGAGGCCTGGCGCTCCTCCTCCCGGAGATGAACGAGGAGGAGAGGAGGTCCCAGCCTCCCTGCGGCTCTCACCTCGGTTATAAAACAGAGGAAGCCACAGGAACACACACACACACACACACACACACACACACACACACACACACACACACACAGAGCCGTGCGCTCCTTACCGCCCAGCGCTCTGCTCCTGTTTCCCCGGGAAGCTCTGCTCCTGTTTCCCGGGAAGCCCTGCTCCTGTTTCCCGGGAAGCCCTGCTCCTGTTTCCCGGGAAGCTCTGCTCCTGTTTCCCGGGAAGCTCTGCTCCTGTTTCCCCGGGAAGCTCTGCTCCTGTTTCCCCGGGAAGCTCTGCTCCTGTTTCCCGGGAAGCTCTGCTCCTGTTTCCCCGGGAAGCTCTGCTCCTGTTTCCTCGGGAAGCTCTGCTCCTGTTTCCCCGGGAAGCTCTGCTCCTGTTTCCCGGGAAGCCCTGCTCCTGTTTCCCCGGGAAGCTCTGCTCCTGTTTCCCGGGAAGCCCTGCTCCTGTTTCCCCGGGAAGCCCTGCTCCTGTCTCCCCGGGAAGCCCTGCTCCTCTTTCCCCGGGAAGCCCTGCTCCTGTTTCCCCAGGAAGCCCTGCTCCTGTTTCCCGGGAAGCCCTGCTCCTGTTTCCCCGGGAAGCCCTGCTCCTGTTTCCCGGGAAGCCCTGCTCCTGTTTCCCCGGGAAGCTCTGCTCCTGTTTCCCCGGGAAGCTCTGCTCCTGTTTCCTCGGGAAGCTCTGCTCCTGTTTCCCGGGAAGCCCTGCTCCTGTTTCCCCGGGAAGCTCTGCTCCTGTTTCCCCGGGAAGCTCTGCTCCTGTTTCCTTGGGAAGCGTGGATTCATGTTGCCGAGCAGACTCCGCTCCCATGACGTGGCACATAGTCTGAGCTCCTTGAAAAGGTCAGAGCAGTTGCCACGAATGGGAAGGGACTCCAGCAATACCTTTCGAATGCTTCACACTTGAAGCATTGAGAAGGTTCCGGAATTGCTCTCTAGTGCTGCAATGTTGACATGGCAGCATCAAGGTGAGGGTGCTGGGGGAAGAAGACCTTTCTGGTGGCCTTAAAGCACACACACCAGCAGCAGAGGCTGGCCTCCCCACTCCACCTGGGCCTCCCCACCTTGCCCGGGGCCTCCCCACCTCACCTGGGCCTCCCCACCTCACCCGGGGCCTCCCCACCTCACCTGGGCCTCCCCACCTCGCCTGTGCCTCCCCACCTCGCCTGGGCCTCCCCACCTCGCCTGGGCCTTCCCACCTCGCCTGGGCCTCCCCACCTCGCCTGGGCCTTCCCACCTCACCTGGGCCTCCCCACCTCGCCTGGGCCTTCCCACCTCACCTGGGCCTTCCCCCTCACCTGGGCCTTCCCCCTCACCTGGGCCTCCCCACCTCGCCTGGGCCTTCCCACCTTACCTGGGCCTCCCCACCTCACCTGGGCCTTCCCACCTCACCTGGGCCTTCCCCCTCACCTGGGCCTTCCCACCTCACCTGGGCCTTCCCCCTCACCTGGGCCTTCCCCCTCACCTGGGCCTTCCCACCTCACCTGGGCCTTCCCCCTCACCTGGGCCTCCCCACCTCGCCTGGGGCCTTCCCACCTCACCTGGGCCTCCCCACCTCGCCCGGGGCCTCCCCACTTTGCCCCGGGCCTTCCCACAGCGGGGAGCCTGGCAGGGTTTGCCCTTACCCCTGAGTCGGCTCTGGAGTTGCTCCCTCTTAATTCACAGCCAGTGGCTCTTGGCAGGCAGCCTGCTGGTTCCAGACGCTGTCACTCACATCACCGACCCAGTGAGCCATGGTCTCGGTGCCCACAGACACTCCGCCATGTGAGTTTTTTCCGTTTGGACAAAAGGTAAGGGCATCTGTTTTCCCTGAAAAAAGTTGCAACACTCAGAAAAGTGCACACACACGTTGGTACAGTTTTCGAAAATAGAAAATCCACTTACTGTGTATGGGGGAGTTTTGAAAACATAATCTAATAATAAAAGATCTGCTTATCAGCTGCTCATTTGGGCTAGAGCTTGTTAATGAAACACACACCCCACAATGGTCATTGGAACAATTATTTCTTCCCTCCCTAAGCCACTATTGTTCTTCGGCTGCGAAGCAGTGGGAGTGTGAATATGTCTGTCTGTGTGGAGGAGGGCAGATGAGTGAGTGGATTTGTGGGAGGACAAAGCGGAGAGTGGAGAGTGGGCGCCAGGTCACGGAGTGTGCGCGTGGGAGGAGGCTGGGCCGTGAGTCAGCCGGAGTGGGAGGCAGGTATGTGTGGGTGACGAGTGGGCCCGAGGAGAAAACAGTACAGAGCCACTTTGCAAATGTGAAGGTTTTAAGAAGATAGCCACAGAACCATACAAAAGAGCATCAGAAAATAATTCATTAGCGCCTCTAATTTTAAAAAGCAAAGGTTTCCGATAATGCCATCTTACAGAGAGCTGTTTTGAACTTTTAAAACTATGCTTTTTAAGAATTACTTTTCAATAAAAAAAAAAAAAGAATGACTTTTGTGTCATGGAGGCTGGTAATTGGTGGTGACCCTGCCACTGTCGCTGATGAAGACAGTGTGTGTGTAGTTTGAAGGATGGTCTCTGAGTCGCCGCCATGAACAAGATTGGCCACGGCCGGCAGGGAGCTGAGCTGAGGACTCCTGGTTGAGGTGCATTAATGTCCCAGGGAGAACGGGGCCTTTCCTTTCCCTGCTGCCAAAAGCATCGTGTTCTTCCTTTTGTAACTATAAATGCGATTTTTAAAAGCTGAACCTGATGCAGAGGCTCACTTAACATCAGGGTAAAATGGGGCCCCAGATCATGATGAACAACCACGGGTACCAACGGATGAACTGCGACGCAGAGGCAAGGGGGGAGGAGCCCACGGATGGGTGAATGAGTGACCCCGCCATCGGGGCCAGGGACCTCCCTGCACTCAGGGGTCCTCCCCGCTGACCCCCCAGGTGTGTGTGGGCAGTGCAGCCACTGGGACACAATCCTGCCAGCTCCGCTTCCTGGGCTGAGTTCTGGGTGGGAGGAGCCCAAATACCAGTTTCCCTGCTCCCGGCTGGCGTTAAGCACTGAAATACTGTATTTGTGTGGGCACACTATTATTAGTTCAGTATTTTCGAAAATCAGAAATCTGAATCACTCCTGTGAAAGGCATGCAGAGAACGCGTACACCGCATAAGTATTTCCCGTGGGCCAGGGTGGGGCGCGTTAAGAAGCATTTTAATGTGATTGACCGGAAGAGGCGCCTGCCCCCCCCCTTTGCTCTGGGTGGGGATTCTCTCTGCTTCCGTCATCCTCTTGCAGCCGCCCTTCTCTCCTCCACAATTCATTTCAAGCAGCGCCTTCACCAGTCACCCAAGACGCGGGAGCAGGGAATCCCTGCCTTGAGCCTCCACCCTCTCGGATAGAAAGCGCCTGAGGGCAAAGTGGACGCATAATGAATGTGTTGAAGCCTGAACCCCAGGACCTCAAAATGTGCCTCTCTTTAGAGGCAGGGCCTTTAAAGGAGCAATGAAGTGAAAATGAGGTGTATGGGTGTGCCTTCGTCAGCCGGATTGGTGTTACAAGAAGAGATTAGGGCGGTCGCACACAGAGGGAGACCAGGTGAGGACACGGAAGAAGTGGGCCGTCTGCCAGCCCAGGAGAGGCCTCCGAGGAAACAGCCGCTACAACAGCGGTTCTCAACCTTCCTAAGGCCGAGACCCTTTAACACAGCTCCCCATGTTGTGGTGACCCCCAATTTCATTGTGACAAATTGAACATAATGAAAGCACAGTGATTAATCACAAAAAACAATATGTAATTATATATGTGTTTTCCGATGGTCTTAGGCGACCCCGGGGAAAGGGTCGTTCGACCCCCAAAGGGGCTGCAACCTACAGGTTGAGAACCGCTGCTCTACAACCTTCAGGACATCAACTCCTGCATAAGCCCCCCGGTCTGCGGCCCTTTGTGACGGCAGCCCTAGCAAACGAATACTCACGGGCTTCAGGGTCCTGCCTGGCTGTCTTCTCCTGGGCCTTATTCCACTCACTCGGGCATCCTTTCATTCCCATCCTCTGGCTTCAATCAGGACCCAGATCTTGCCCACATCCCCTCCCTACGCTCCAACTCGCCCACCCACGTACCTCTGAGATGTCTTGCATGTGCTTTCACATCACTTCCGTGCAGAATTCATCATTTTTCTTTCTCAGCTCATATTTTTGTTTTCCTGTTTTTAGGAAATAGAATGGATAATCACTCACGCCAGATGCCCCCAAACCACTTTCATGGGCAGCTGGAAACCACTGCCTTGCTTCAAACCCTAATCATCCTGACCTGTCTGCTGTCTCTCTCCCACCACCCTTCCTCCATGCTGCCACCAAAGCAATATTTTAAAAATATATTTCTTTATTGATTTCAGAGAGGAAGGGAGAGGGAGAGAGAGAGCTAGAAACATCAATGATGACAGAGAATCATTGATCGGCTGCCTCCTGCACACCCCCTACTCAGGATAGAGCCCACAACCGGGGCATATACCCTGACTGGGAATCGAACCCTGACCTCCTGGGTCATAGGTTGGTGCTCAACCACTGAGCCACTCCGGCTGGGCCAAAACAATTTTTTTAAAAAATTTTAAATGCAGCCCTAGCTGGTTTGACTCAGTGGATAGAGCTGTGGCCTGTGGACTGAAGGGTCCTGGATTCGAATTTGATCAAGGGCACTTGCCGAGGTTTCGGTTCAATCTCCAGTAGGGGGCTTGCAGGAGGCAGCCGATCAATGAGTTTCACTCATCATTGATGTTTCTATCTCTCTCACCCTCTCCCTTCCTCTCTGAAATCAATAAAAATATATTTTTTTAAAATTTTCTTTAAAAAAAAATGTTTTAAGTGCAATCCCTCAGGGGTTGTGCAACCAATTTAGTGGATTGCATTTTCCCAGATGAACTAGACCAGCGTGGGAAATAAAGGCTTCAGTCTCCATTGGCGTCGATGGCTGAAGCCAAGAAGTCAAGAGAAGGCGGAGACTCAGAAGGGCAGCGCTGGAGGACTTGGGAGAGAGCAGCGCGAGGAGCAGCTTACTGTGGGTGTTGCTGTAAGAACGTCTTCCTAACTCATTAGGCTGTGCATTTATTTTGTATTGTCTTCTAAACTGTTTACGTTACAATAGGTATGATTAAAAGTAACAAAAAATATTTCACATAAGTGGTAGCTATCGCAGCAAAGGGAGAATGTCAGCAAGGTTCTCTCATGCGTGTTATTCAAGATTGATGAAGCACTTAAAGGAGCATTTCCAGATCAGTAGACCGAGCAAAGCGAAAGAGGAAAACGGGAAAAGGAGGTGAGGGACCGGGTGGGATGGGAGGCAGGAAGAGGAACCTCTTAACCCTAAAACAAATCCAACAAATACTATGTGAGCCGTTTAGGTGAGCCGTTTTTTTAAAATATAAAGTAGGCTTAGATTTTACACAGAGGAATAAATCTCTATAAAGCCCCAGTCATTGGGAGGGTCTGGCCTTTGAAACTCAGAACCTGAACATTTCCTGGACCTGTTCTAGCCAGACTTTCATTATTGCTGAGACAAGTTCAGAGCCTTAAATGTTTAGATGGATTATTTTAAACATCATTGTTAGGCGATGATGTTTAAGTGAAAATAGAAACGGGAAAAAAAGGCGGGGGAGGGGGGGGACAGACCAGCCTATTTGAACCTGCATTTCCAGGGACACGCCCGCATGTGGTCAGGGCAGGCAGATTCTAACCTGCAAAACGCATGCCTGACAGGGAGCCGCCTTCCGCCCGCTCCTGCTTGCTCCGGTCTCAATGGCTTCCCTTGCCCATCATTCCAAGGGGCAAGTGACCTGGTTCGCACTCACAGGAGGCCGCCCCGATTAGTCACTGCCATTCTGCTCTGCCCTCCCTTTCCTCTAGGATTCCCATCATCCCCGCCTCCCGCTGTAAGGCCCTCCTTTGTCTGCCGCTCCTCCTCGTTCATGATTAGAATAGAACGTATGCTATTTAGGGAACCGAATCCTCTAGGATAAAGGTGCGTTATAGATCTACTAAACAAGATCTATAGAAGGCAGAATACATATTTGATATAGAAGCAGCTCCCATGTTGAGTCCATGTGTAAATTTTGAAAAAGAAAACACACTTAACAAAGTTTAGAATGACAAATAAAACTCATTTATCGCCCTAACCAGTTTGGCTCAGTGGATGGAGTGTCAGTCTGTGGACTGAAAGGTCCCAGGTTCTATTCTGGTCAAGGGCATGTACCTTGGTTGCAGGCACATCCCCAGTAGGAGGTGTGCAGGAGGCAGCTGGTCGATGTTTCTCTCTCATCGATGTTTCTAGCTCTCTATCCCTCTCCCGTCCTCTCTGTAAAAATGCAATAAAATACATTTAAAAAACAACTCACTTTTCAAGGCAGCATAAAACTTCAGATTACCATTTTCAGACCTATGACAGCTCTGTGAGCAGTCCAGCATATCACAGCGCCCTGGCCAGTGTGGCTCAGTGAGTGTTGCCCCAAGCAGAGAGCTTGCTGGTTTGATTTCTGGTCAGGGCACCTGCCTGGGTTGTGGGCTCAATCCCCAGTAGGGGACGTGCAGGAGGCAGCCAATCCATGTTTCTCTCCCTCTCCTTTTCTCTCTCTAAAATCAATTAAAGAATACATAATATACTTTATATATACATATATATAGACACACACATAGACCAATAGATAGATAGATAATATACATACGTCACTTAGTGTTTTCTTCCTGTCTATTTCTATTCCAGTTTTTTCTTCTATGAAACTTCCCTCTCACTGTAGAGGCTGACACCCACTCCGCCCCAGTTCTCCAGGGCCAGCGCTAGTCACTTGCCAATGGGAGCAGCAAGAGAGTTAGTCTGCTGAGGGGGTGACGGCGAGCGTCTCAGAATGGCTTTCCGTCCCTGTTCAAGGGGCGATGGAAGGGGAGCCACTGCCCGCCTTTGGTCACAGTGGTGTGAGGACACAGCCTCAGAGCAGTGGCCGGAGGGGACGCTCACAGACAAAAGCCAACAAGCCCAGCGTGGTGGAGTAGAGAGCTGAGACTGCGCAGGCCTCCGCGGCTGGCAGCCGGCCCGGCTTCCTTCCCCCTGACGCCAGAAGCGTCTTCCTCGTTTAGGACACTTTTAGCTGGAAATTCTGTTACTTGTCGTGGGAAACATCCCAACACATGCTCTGATGACTCAGGCAGACTTCTGGGCCTGTCCTGTGGGCAGGGCTCTAATCACAGCAAACACATGTCAGGGGGGAGGGGAAGAGGGAGTTACTGAAATGAACTAAGTCACAACTATTTTTCATCTAAGGCTTTGCTTAATATAAGCAAAAATATATCTAATTTCAGGCAGAAAGACTTTAGAGGCAAAATATGATTAACAACATTAGCAAAAATTAAAAGTATATTAGTTGAATTATTTACACTTTCCACACCTCATACATAATCTCTGTTCAAACATGACTAATCTAGAAATTATGATTTTTGTTGTTAAAACAGTTCAGAACAGATAGACTTGTGTCAGTTTTCTTCATTCAAATAGAATACTGTTTTTATTATAAATAAAACCTTATAAATTTCCCAACAGTTGCTTATACTTTCTTTCCATTCCCAAGATCAATAATAACCTCCTGGAAAGCGAAGGGAGTCAAACCTCTGCACAACACTCCAAGCATTCTTGGATGCAGCCAGATACCGAACAGAATGGACGGCATGCTGGAAACAGAAGTCACTGAGATCTGACAGAGCGAGAGAGCGAGAGGTGGGGGCAGGAGGGGGGCATACCAGCAGAGGAACAAAGTAGGAGACTTATCTTTATCCTCCATCTCCCAGGCCCACATGCCCCCTTTTAGAAAATACTTGAGTTCTTTCCAAAAATACATGAAAGGAAATAGACTGAAGAGTTTTCTGGATGGACTGTGGCACTGGGGCCATTCTGAAGTACGTGATCAGGAACTGAAAGCAAGAGGTGGAAACCCCTGTTTTAGCTGAATGGAAGGGCTCCTGATTCACACACAAATCTTTTCCATTGCCCGTAAATGACTAAAACACACACATTAAAAAAAAAAAACAATTAAAGAATTTCATAAAAAGGTTATCTGCAGTTTATAGCTTTCCCTGAAAGAAAAGAAAACACTTTCAAATATAATTATCTTACTATAAACTGTTTTAATAAAACTTAATCCCATGTGTGGGGGGGGAGAGGGGAGCCAGCTTACGGTAGATGGTTGAGAATAACCGATTGAGAAACCATGTTTCCTGAGGGTGTGTTGGCTGCAAAGGAGACAGTGGCAGAAGCTCCTTAGGGACAGAGCGATGTGGAATTGGAGGGGGTCCAGGCAGGAGACAGACGAGGGCCCCAACGCCGGGAAAAAGCATTTACAGTGGGAATTGTATAAAGGAAGAAATGATGGCATGTAGCGCCTGGAATCTTTATGGCATTGGCAGGTATCATTGCAGCAACAGACCAAATCTTTATGAAAGAACCAAAAGTAGTAGAACTTAGACTATTTTAAGGCATTTAATTAAATGCTCTCCCTACCTAGAAACCAAGTGAGAGCTCCTAAAGAACTTCTGACACGAGCTAAACTTTACTTCTGATTCATAACGACTGGTTGTAATCCCATGGCAGTCACGGAAGAGTAATTGGTTATGAAGAGCAAGAACTCTAGAAATAAAAAATGCAGAGGCTGAAAATGGGTTTGTAATCCTTTTCACACCAGGTGGAAATGGTTAAATGGAAATAAAGCACTTAGGTCATTAAAATAATAAAAAGGAAGCTCTTTATTATACATCGGTCTTATTTTCAATAAAAACATGTCATATTACAGCCATATGAATTACTTTAAAATGCACACTCAGTATTTTAGTTGGGATTACAACCTTGTCTAAAACGCTACTTACTGTCAAGCATAAAACTTGTGAAACTCAAAGTTTTTGAGTCACTTGGGTAAATTTAAGGCACATTGTGGGCTGCCGCCCAGAGGGACTGAGCCGGTCTCTGGAGGGTATGCCTTGGAGTCTGCGTGTCCGATGCTGTACGTGTACTTATTACCCACACTGCCGGCATTCTGGGGAGAATGCGGACTCCACTAGCTAGAGCTCAGGTCCCCCAAGCATCAGAGCTTCATTCTGCCTTGGACATGGACCTGGGGTGTTTACCAGAAGCCCACAGCAACATCTGTAGGCACAGTGGGCAACTGCTTCAAAAGAAATGAATGTTGTCCTTTTCCCTCACCCCTTTTGGTGTGAAATGTATGGGCTGGTATTCACATCCAGTTACAATTGTCTTATGTCAGTTTAATGGTGAGCCCAACTACAGCGTTCTCACCCTACTGACACCTGGTGGGCAAACTCTTTTTTTGTTTTCTAGTGGAACCATGGAGAGCAAGTCTGCATAATGTCCTAGACCAGTGGTCGGCAAACTGTGGCTGGCGAGCCACATGCAGCTCTTTGGCCCCGTGAATGTGGCCACGAAGTTTCAATCGCACTGTACGTGCCCGCCCGCACGTGGTATTTTGTGGAAGAGCCACACTCAAGGGGCTGCGGTTTGCCGACCACTGTGACCCTAGGAGGCTTCCAACAACAGTTTTGCAGGTGCCCTGTGTACATGGGGTTTGGTTGAGTTTAGTTAGTTTAGTTCATGTCCTAGAAAGAGACAGACAGATGCTGGTGTCCCCTAAGGACAGTAGACTGCAATCATCGGCGTGTTAATCCCATCTGCTTCTCCAGAGAAGGCAGCAATGTTCCATGAGGATGTCAAAGGACCAACACGTCTCCCTAAATCTGGCCGCACTCCTGATTCTGTCTTCCGTGTTTTTCCTTCTGGCTGGTGTCTTCGTCACCACAAGAAGCTTAGGCAGGGTGCTCACCTGTTCACACCTTTAACACACAGTACTGGCCAAGTACTCTAACGCTCTTTGTACAGTTGTGATTTTATTTTATTTTACTAGAGGCCCGGTGCACGATGGGGCCAGAGGGGGCGGGGAGGGCGGCTGCGGGGAGGGGCCTTGGGTGGTTGGCCCGCCCCACTTCCTGGTCGAACTCTGGGTTAAACTCCTGGTGGAGGGGACAATTTGCATATTAGCTTTTTATTATATAGGGTTTCTTTCTTTATTTATTTTTGTATTCTCCAAAAAAATAGAGTAAAAAATAAAAACTCGTTGTACAGTTGTGCCCTGACTTTGAAATAAGACGCTGCTGCCGAAACCGGTTTGGCTCAGTGGATAGAGCGTCGGCTTGCGGACTGAAGGGTCCCAGGTTCGATTCCGGTCAAGGGCATGTACCTTGGTTGCGGGCACATCCCCAGTGGGGAGTGTGCAGGAGGCAGCTGGTCGATGTTTCTCTCTCATCGATGTTTCTAACTCTCTATCTCTCTCCTTTCCTCTCTGTAAAAACTCAATAAAATATATTTAAAAAAAAAAAAAAGAAATAAGACGCTGCTAAAGAGTAAGTGTAGTGTCTTCTAAACTATGTACTATTGTGGTGCTAACACATTTTATTTGGGAAAAATAAAAATAATGATCAGGCTTACGTTTGGGTGGAGTATGTGCACAAGTCAAATGTCTCATCCAGAATTCTTCAGTGCCAAGGAAGGTAGATTATTACGGAAACACCACAGCCTCAGCAGGTGAAAACGAACTCTTGCATCTAAACACTGGGTAGGAAAAGTTCCACGTCAGCCGCCTATGGCTGTATAACAAATTACTCCTAATCTTCGCAATGAGAACAATACGCACCTACTGTCTTACATGTTTTGAGCGTCAGGAATGTAGGGGCAGCTTAACGAGGGGGTTCTGGCTCAGGGCCTCTCCAAGGTCGTAATCACAATGGCAGCCAGTGCGGAACCGCCTGGGAGTTCTATTGGGAAGATCTGCTTACTCCCAGAGGTCTCTCCACAGGGCTTGTCATAACATGGTAGCTGGCTTCCCCCAGTACCAGTGACAGAGAGAGAGAGAGAGAGAGAGAGAGAGAGAGAGAGAGAGAGAGAGAGAGAGAGAGAGAGAGAGCCCAAGCTAGAAGCCACAGTCTTTTTATAACCTAACCTTGGAAGTGGCATCTCATCACTTCTGCCATCACTGTGGGTTGGAAACAAGTCCCTATTTCCAGCCCACACGGAAAGGGAGGGGTGGATGACAGAAGGGCCTGAGCACCAGGAAACAGAGGGGATCACGGAGGCCATCCTGGAGGCCGCCTGCTACAGACTTCTTGACCGCAGACATTTTTAAGTGTTGAGTCTGTTGTTCATCACTGTGAGTATCTAATGGGGGAAGACAGTCAGCTGCATTTCCCAGCTGTGTGATCTGGGATTTCCTCGTTCTGCCAACTGACCTCCGGGCCAAGGACTTGCTGCGCACGACAGTCCCTAGGCAGCCAGGGAGTCGGTGTGGAATGCAGAGCCCCAGGCTCCACCTTAGACCCACTGGACTCATGGGAAGATTCTTTGTTGCAGAGTCTGCTTTATCTGGTATCAATATAGCCACTCAACTTTCTTGTTTTTGTTTGCTTTTTCTTGTTTTTGTTTTTTTGGGGTTTTTTTTTGGGGGGGGGGCGTGCGGGGAGGAAGGAGAGAGAGAAACGGATTTGTTGCTCCACTTCATTCATGTTTTCATTGGTTTCTTCCTTTCTGTGCCCTGACCGGGCCTGAACCCGAAACCGTGGCGTATCCGGATGGTGCCCTCAGCCAACTGAGCCACCCGGCCAGGGCCCCACTCACCTTTCTTTTGATTGGTATTTGGAATATGTTTTTCTTCCTTTTCTTTGTAATCCATATAAGTATATCTTTACACTTAAGGTGTATTTCTAATAAATAGTATATAAATAAGTTTTTCCAATATGACAATGTTTGCCTTTTAATTCGGGTTTTGAGACTTTTCTATTTAATGTAATTATTGATATGATTGGATTAAAACCTGCCATCTTTTGTTCTCTATTTGTTCATTCTTTCTCCCTATATTCTTGCCTTCTTTTAGATTTTTTATTGTTTTATTTCCACTTTCCATAGCACTGTTGCCAGTGAATGTCATAGCTTCTTTTGGCGAGGAGCGGGTTTTTGGTGTTTGTTATGGGGTGCGACCACATTAGTTACAGAGAAACAGAATTTCCGGAGGATGAGGCCCAGAAACCAGGATTTTAAAAAGATGCCCAGGTGATTCTAATGTGCAGCCAAGGTTGAGAACCACTGCAATAGAACATCCAGCACTTTCCAGGTGTGTCCTCTCAGGATTGTGGTCTCCACTGATTGGCCGGCACCAGGGCACGGGGTCATTATCCAACGCAGCTGGTCCTGGGGGCAGCTGGGCTGGTTTTGCTGCTTTTCTGGGCCTGGAGCTAAAACACAACTGAGGCCGAGATGTCGTCTCCAGGGGGAATAGATCAGGGGGTCCAGACCTCAGGCCCAGGGATCTGCAAGGGGAGGAAAGGTCACCCTGGGGGCGAGGTCCGCCCCTCCAACCGACTGTCCATTGCTAGGCCCGTGGGCTGTCCACCCTGATGACCTGTACCTGCCCATGGTCCTTGCTCTGCTCACGGCTAACTGCTGCCACAAAACCTTCCTGTGAAGCCAGGGAAAGGCGAGTCCCACTCAGAGTTTTAGGGAAAGTGAGACTGTCGTAGAGGATGCTTACTGTCACACTGGGGTCTCTGAGATACGTCAGCAGACGACCAGGATTAGGAAAAAGGAACTGACCTTTATTCTAGTAAATGTTTAATATGAACATTGAATCCCATTAAAGGGTCTCCAGGGCCTCGGGAGTGTCTGTTTTGTTAAGTACAAAATTATTCAAGGCTGCGAGTTCTATACTAATTATCAATATTACTATTGATCTATACTACTTTTCCAGTTTTACTGAGATATAATTGACATGTGTTAGTTTTAGGTGTACAGCATAATGGTTTGATATGTCTATATTTCAAAATGGTCATCAAAATAAGTTAATATCCATCACCGCACGTAATTACCCAAATTTCTTTCTTATGAGAATTTTTGAGACCTACTCTTAGCAACTTTCCAATATAAGGTGCAGTATTGTTCACTTCAGTCACCATGCTGTACCTCACATCAGAAGAACTCGTTGATCTTATAACCTTCCATCACCTTCACCCATTTCGCCCCCTCACCCCGTCTCTGTCCCTCCCCTCGGGGAGCCACCAATCTGTTTTGGTTTATTTTGGTGTGTTTTTTTTCTGTTTTGTTTCAACTCAAGGTCATCCTAAGGGGCGTGTTGCATCGGTGAGCGGACTCTTCCAGCCCCTGGATCCTGAAACGCGATGTTCTTGAGCTCAGACCTACAATTCGGTTTAAGCAACCACCTGGCCCACTTGTGATTGCGTGTCACAAAGAGGAAAAGGAAAACCAAAAGGGAAAATAAAGAAACTGACTTTTACTCCTAAAACGGGAAGTTGCTGAAGGGCCTGCCCCCGGGGCGCCCTCCTTGCAGGCGCGGAGGACGGGGCTGAGTCACCGGAGGGAAGATCTTCATCGACAGCCCGCCCCGCGCCCGGCGCCCGGGGAGGAGGACCCGGAACCCCGCGGCCCGGAGGCTGGTCCTCCCCCGGGAGGCGGGGCCTCGCCTTCCCCGCGGGGGTCCCCGCCCGCCCTCCCCGTCCAGCCCCCGCGCGGCCTGGGCTGCGGGCGGCGGGATGCGGCGGCGCGCGGGCCCGTGGTGGCTGCTGCTCTGGGCGCCGCTGGCCGCGGGCTTGGGGCGCGCGAAGGAGGCGCGCGGGGCGCCGCTGGCAGGTAACCGCGGGCGCCGGGGCCGCGGGGGCGCTCCCTTCCGGGGCGGCCCGGCCCGGGGCCCCCACTCTCCACCCTCCACCCCGCCTGGGCTTCCCGTCTCTGCCGGACGGCGCTGCAGCCATGGAGGCGGGAGCCGCGGTCTCGGCCTCGCGTGGGCATCTGGCCGCAGCGCCCGCCCTGACCGGCTCCAGGACCGTGAGCGGGTCCGGTACCGGCGCCGTGAACTCGCAAAAACAGCCCCGCACGGAACGTGGCTGCCCCGGAGCGCGTGCGCCAGGCCCGGCTCGCAGAGGACGGACATGGGGGCGGCTGCGGGCGTCGGTGGGGGACCCGTGCGGTGAGCTCAGGGTCCTGGCCTGGGAGTCGGGGTTCCAGCTCCAGGACCGCCACTCACTTCTGGTCCCTTTTCTCCCATAAAATCCCGTGAAAGGTTTCCTGGAATCGCCGCCCACTTCTCTCCATCGCATTGGCCACCTCTGGCCGCAAGGGGGGCAACCAAGTGTGGACTTTAGCTGGGGCCGCCTCCCCCCACAAACCAGGGCTCCTTGTCTAGGGATGGGGCCCATGGTCAGAGTCCGTCACCACTGCCAACTGGGGAGTCTTGGGGCACGGCCTCGGGAGCTGTTTTACACCCGTTTCCACCGAACAGACATTTGTTTTGTCTTTACCGTGTTGGGCAGTGTTTTAACGGCTCTATCTTACTTGGTGCCCACAGTAGTCCTGCGGCGGGGGAGGGGGAGGTAACATTTATGAGCCCATTTTACAGGTGAGAAAATGAAGGCCTGGGAAGAGATGTGACCAGTGTATACTGATGAGGAAGTAAATCACAGCACTGCCAAGGGGGTTCTGAGCAGGGCAACAGCCCTGGACCCACACCCCCAGCGGGCCGGCCCAGCCATTAACCAGGCACCACCTGTAGAGGTCCGGCACACGGCCTTTCTGGACTCTGGCTTTCTCATCGGGAGAAGGAAGGTGTTCTGTGGCTGGGTGGTTTCCCATGTTGCCCTCACCTTCTTATCTGTTCAGTGACCCCAGTGTTTTCCAGATTCTGAGTCCCCAGACCCGGTGCTAACAGCTCACTTCCGTGTGGTGTTCACCGAGGCATGCCCAGCCGCCAGCTTCTGTCCGCCTGGGACTCGCAGGTGCCCCCTGAGCTGATCAGAGGCTGGCCCCCAGCTCAGAAGAATGGCGGCCTGTGAGCCTTACAGCGCCGCTCGCTGCTCGCCGCTCGCCGCTCCAGGCAGGCCGGGCCTGTGTCTGCCAGCGACGCTGCCACTGCCGAGGCCGGGACCACAGTGTCTAGGCCAGTGATGGCGAACCTATGACACGCGGGTCAGAGGTGACACGTGAACTCATTTTTTTGGTTGATTTTTCTTTGTTAAAAGGCATTTAAATATATAAAATAAATATCAAAAATATAAGTCTTTGTTTTACTATGGTCGCAAAGATCAAAAAATTTCTCTATGTGACACGGCACCAGAGTTAAGTTAGGGTTTTTCAAAATGCTGACACGCCGAGCTCAAGAGGTTCGCCATCACTGGTCTAAGCTGTTGCTGCTCTGAAAGCGCTGGTTTTAATGAGGCCCTGAGACCAAACGGCTGGAACTTCCTTTCATAAACTAGATTAGAGGCCGTTTCCTGTTCTAAATTCCATCTCTAACACACACATCTGGGAATGGAGGAAATCGGCGGAGGCCAGCGTCTGTCACCCTGTCCGAAGTCAGGTCAGGGGCAGGTCTGGCCGAGAGGAGGAGAAACGCACAGAGGAGTTTCTAAGAGCCACTAAGAACCACTAGTGGTTTGCAAGCAGTGGGTGAGGCTCCCAGGAACCTCGCGTGACCAGGGGAGAAGTTCAGGCCTCTGGACTGCATTCCCAGGCGTGGGCGTTAGCAGGATTCAGATTTATCTGTGGGAGAAGAAAAATCGGTGCTTGAGATGAAAATCGTACTTGAATCCATGCTAGCATGTGCTAATTTCAGTTTCAGTTTTATTATGCATGTTCTTGGAGACATAAAATATCAAGACTTAGATTCAAGTCATGTTAAAAAACAAAACAAAAAACTAGGGTTAGTAGAACCGAGAAGTTACCCTTGTAATGAATGGTGCTCCGTGCTAACTCCTGTGACAACGTGAATTTACAGTGTACTACCCAGAAACACCCTTTTTCCATGCCAGCTTTCAGGAGTTCAGGTTCAATGGGTTTTGCTTTTTGTTTTTCCTATTCTTCTGCCTCCCTTTCGCTGTCCCCAAAGAGGAGCCGTTGTGGCCGAATGGAGGGAACGAGAGTGTAGTCGGGTTTTATTGTTCTGGTATAGTCTCACCTGCAGGTACTTGCTTCTCAGATGAGGACCATGAGAGGTGACGTTCAGGGGGAACACGGCAGAAGTGTTTTTATGTTGGAGGTTGTTTGAGATCTGCTAAGACCTGAGGAGCATTTGATCTGTAGGATACTCTCTAAGTAGGTTTCAGGACCACCTGCCCCTTTCTCAAGTCCCGACTGAATATTTTTATCTTATGAATGATTAGACTCTAACTTAAACATGTCCTTGTACACGTAGGAAAAGTAATACATGACAAAAGGACTACGACGGCGTGATTTTAAAGTTACTAGTTAAAGCAGGTGATACGCCGCTGTCCCTGTTTATAGACGAATTCAGTATTTATAAATTGGGTGGCATTCAGAAGGAGCTAAGGGGTCTCATTGGTTAAGGTCATCCTGGCTCGAATCCTTGAGTGATGTAAAGAATTGTGCTGTGTCTTGGCAGTTAGGGCACAAATATTACTGAGTCAGTTCAGGTTTGTTGAAAGGATGAGAGAGCCTGCCAGGGACTGGGGAGTTCAGGAGGGCGACGCTCATTCACGGCTTCCAGGGGTGGGCAAACTTTTTGACTCGAGGGCCACAATGGGTTCTTAAACTGGACCGGAGGGCCGGAACAAAAGCATGGATGGAGTGTTTGTGTGAACTAATATAAATTCAAAGTAAACATCATTACATAAAAGGGTACGGTCTTTTTTTTTTAGTTTTATTCATTTCAAACGGGCCGGATCGGGGCGTAGTGCCCACGGCTGGCTTAGACGCTGCCTTGCTGGGGCAGCCGAGTGAGGACGGCATTCCGGGCTGGTCCCCAGATCCTCCAGGTGCTGGGAGATGAGCCGGAGCTGGGATAGCCCATGCTTCCAGTCGTTTCCCAGATCGGACTCAGGTCTGAGGGAGCAAACACCTCGTTGGGGGCGCCCTCCCGGTGCAGACAGACTACACCCCAGTGGGAGCAGCGGCTCTCGCTGGCAGCTGTCCCTCCCGGTGAAGGGTTCTTGCTGCATGTTCAGGCCCCGGAAACTCCTCTGTGCCTCCTGGATGCCCTGGGCGGGGGTTTGGCTGACATTGCTGGGGGCCAGCAGGTCCGTCCTAGTGGGACGAACCCGTGGAGGCTGGGGCCGCATCCATGGGAGACACCTGCCGGGGCAGGAGGCTCACAGCCTGCGCTTGGGCTGGAACCAGCGGTGGAGGTCAGTGAGCTGTGGGGCTGGCTGCACTTCCCACGCCCACCCTCAGGTGGCGATAGAGGAAGTAGAAACAGCGATGCCATTTCCAGGAGATCACCGAAGGGAGGAGAGGAGAGGCCGGGGAAGGACATAACCTGAGGAACAGTCTGAAGCCAGTTTTCAACCTTGCCATCTCCCGCACTAACCTAATTACTAACATCCCGCGGCACACAAACAAAAGCCAGGTGTGCGTTGCTGCATGCGCACGAGCTGGTGATTGGTGGCCGTTGCTATTTCTCTACCTGACAGTCTGCGGGGAAGAGGCCGGTGCCCCGGCTAGCCGTCAGGTGGGGTGTGTGTCAAACACCCCGGCGGCACACGGCTGACACGGCTGATCTGGCAGAAGGCCTGGCTCTCTCGGGAGGCCCTAGGCCAGCACGACACCAGCTTGATTGTCACAGTCACCGCCTCCTGCCTCATCCAGCCAGCCGGTGTCTGGAGGTCCACAGGAGCTCCCTGGAGCCAGGCGTGCGGCTTCTTGTGGCTGCGAGTTTCTCACTTCCTCGATGTGTAGGAATTCCCTCGCGGGTCGATGGAAACATTCACCGTAGGAGGGGGGATAGTGCGGGCAGCCAGAGGACACCATGCAGCGTTGACACCTGGTCTGTGATGTCCCAGGTGTTGTATGAGTTCCACATCAGGTGCATCTCAAAAGCAGAGGCTACTCTGGAGATCTCCTGGGGAGACGCCGTCTGCAACGTGCTTTTCAGGGGGTTTCTATCGTATCCGTAGTCACCTCCGCTCGCACTGTCCCCGCCCCCGTCTGGTTGAAGATGGGCTGACATGCAGAGCAAGTCCCTGTCCTGGGAGTGCCCTCGCACCCAGTACACACATGTGCCAAACACGAGGAAGCAGCAAGTGGGAAAAGGGGAGGCGCCTGCGGACAGGAGGGTGGGTGGGGCTGGAGCAGCCCAGCGGGGGAGGCGGGAGAGAAGGTCCGGGAAGGGGCGGTGGGTTTGCTGTGGTTCCCTGGGAAGCCTGTAGAGGGTTTTACGTAGGTCAGTCGTGCGCTCCGATGGATGTTTTTGTGCAGATTAGGGAACAGGTTGAGGGGAAATGGTGGGGGCAGTTCTGGAAGCAGGAGGCCAGCCAGAAGGCCTCACAGGGTTCCAAGTGGAGAGGAGACCAGGGAAGCATGTACTCCGAAGTTCAAACAGCTCACAGCACCTGAGTGGCATCGTCTCGCTCTTACCGAGTTAGAAATATCAAATGATTTAGGAGACCGTCTTAGGACCAAGTGGAAAAAACCCGGCCCTCTGTGGGAAGATAGCCTTTGTTTGCCAAGCTCAGGCCCCAGAGGACCCCTGCTGGCCTCTCGCTGAGGTGGTGGGATGTCCTGTGTGTCCCCTACGCGCCATCCTGTGAAGGGCTGACACGGCTGATGTCCCTCAGCCCCGGTGCTCTGCACACACTTGCCACCCCCACCCCCTGACTTCTCTCTCATTACCTCCAACTTCATTCTCCGGTTCTTCGATCACATCGCCGCTCTCCTGGGAGGCGGCCCTCAGTCCTTCCTCTGTCTCGGGTGGAGGGAGTGCCTGTTCCCTGTGCTCGTAGCGTGTCCTTCAAATGTCGTAAAAGTCCTGCACTGGAACTGTTGGTCTGTCTCCCGCTGGGCTGCCTATAATTGCCAGAGAGAAGAATTTTTTGGTCATAGAGTATAAAAACAGCTACCCCATGTCCCCGTGAATAAAAAAGAAAAAAAAAAAGGTAAGATTCTGGGCAATTAAATATTTAGAAAATATGTTTTCTTTTACACTTCTCAGTTCCAGGGTGCAGAGCTTTGAAGGAAATGGATTTAATTAAAAATTCGGAGTCAGACTGTTACTGCTACCATCAAAAAACCCAGATCGAGTGGAAATACATATGGTCAACGGTGCAGGTAAGAGGGTACCTTTAAATCTTATCTTACCACGGGGAATTTGTTTATTTTTCTTTGATTTTGAATCAAGCTCCTTAAAAAGGATCGTGGCTTTATTTTTTAAGATGAAAAAAATATGTATTTTATTCATTTTTTAAAATGTGTCGTTATTGTTGACAGTATCCCAGATGCCCCTGCCCGGCCCGTTGCTGTGGATGTGTTTGATTTTATTGTGATACTCTCGGCGCCCCCGACTGGGCAGTGTGACCACCGTGTGCTCCGCAGCAGGGCTGGTGGCACGGATGCAGGAACAGAATAGGTGGGGGCGGGCTTTGCCGGCGGCCGTGAAAACAAAGGCGGTGCCTGCGAGGGCGTGATTCCTCATGACGCGCCTTGGGATTCCTCAGGACAAGCAGGGGCTGAGTCCTTCGGGGTGAGGAGCAGGGTGGAGATGCCCGCTGCATGGGGGGGTCCAAGGCTTGCCGGGTGCAGTGCCGACGAGCATGCTGGGAAGGCAGGAGGTGGTCAGCCAGGCGGTGCATGGAATGCGGCCTGTGTGAGGGCCTTCCGTTTGGGGCTGACAAGGTCCAGGGTGTGGCCATGGGGGTGATTTGTGGAGGTGGGTGGGGGACACGACCATCAGAGGAGCTCAGAGAACGGGAGGCCAGCATATAGGGGTGCAGTGAATGCACTGGTGAATCCCCGAGATGCGTGGCTGCAGGTGGCACTGGAGAGAGCACAGCCGTGGGCCCGGGGCGAAGTCCACGAGGAGGGGGAGGCAGGCAGTGGGTGATACCACCCGATGCCCGAGGCTCGGAGCTGGTGGCCACGCCCCAGTCCCGGGCAGGGAGGAGAAACAGGGACAGACAAGGCAGCAGCCAGGCTGTCATTCAGTAATGCGTGGCTGTAGCTGGTGCTGTGCTATGAGCCGTGGGTAGGCCCTGAGGCCGGGCTCTGCCCTCAGGAGGTGGTGGTGGGAGACGCTGGGGCTACGTCTGAGCTGACCCAGAGGGAGCACTTCTCAGTCACGGAGAAAGTGGCAGAGATAACCCCTCTTCTCGTGGGTTTATAACAGTTGGCCACCTGTTCCTCTATCTCATCTTTGCTTACGTCTCTGTTGGCCCCAAGAACCCGCTAGAACAGTGGTTCTCAACCTTGCCTGCACATTAGAATCACCTGGGAATCTTGTTAAAATCCTGATTTCTGGGCCTTATCCTCTGGAAATTCTGTTTCTTTGTTACTAATGTTGTGGCCCCACCCCATAACAAAGAAACAGGATTTCCGGAGGATGAGGCCCAGAAATCAGGATTTTAACAAGATTCCCAGGTGATTCTAATGTGCAGCCAAGGTTGGGAACTACTGTGCTAGAAGAAGAAGTTGGATCAACCACCACTCAGGGAACAAACACCCACTTTCCGGGCGGGGGTGCGCCCGTGGCCTCCACACGGCACCGCGTGCGTCTGCGTGTCCCTCACTCAGCCGGCCGGGGTTCTAGGACGCGTTCGAGGAGCTTTACCTCCTGTGCTAACGGGGCTGTGCGTTCTCGTTGGCAGGTGAGGCTCACCAGTGCAGACCTGCTCAGTGTCGCGTATATCACAGAGAGACACAACTGCCAGGACCCAGAGACCGTCCTTTCTCTGATCAAGTGTGCGATCCACGCGTTCTGGACCCCGAGCGAGTCGCATGAAATATCCGTGAGCATCCGCCCACACGGCGAGACGGTGTGCTTCTCTGTGAAGCCGGCCGGGAGGCACACGGTGCAGGTGACTCGCAGGGGTGAGTCCGCTCTGGTTCACTGGGCTTCTCGGCCCGGCTCCTGAGAGGCGTGTCGGTAGACTGGCGTTTCCCTGCGCACTGCCACCGCCTTGACACCAGCCTGTTCCCGTGTCTCCTTTGCTCCAGTTGTGGATTTCGGGCTCGTCCTCCTGTTCGTGGCCGGCACTGTCCTCTTCCGCCTGGCGGCGCGCTTGAGCCAGTAAGTACCCGTGGCGCCCTTCTTAACGTGGGGACCGAAGGGCGGGGACCGTGCTGGCACCTGCGAAGGAGGTCCACACGGGTTGGAGGGGAGCTCCGTTTCAGGTTTTGCAAACAGGTCTGAAGCTCAAGCTTGCAAAGCCTTTAAAGCCAGGAATGGTCGTTTGTGTAGCGATGACAGGTGAACGTCACACCGTGCGTGCTTCCAGGGGCGGAATGTGGCATCGCCTGCTCACAGACATCAGTGTGTTCGCGTGTGAGCTCTGTGCTACTGTCCCCACCGTGTAGATGGGGAAGGAGATCTGCCGTCACCTGACTGGCCCCCCCGGGGCTGGGGCGGGGGCGGGTTTGCTGGTGCAGATGCCTGGTCCCCTCTCAGAGGCCGCCTCCCCGACGTGCAGCTCGGATGCCCAAGGAGGGATTGCACAAACCTCTGATCAACCTGCCATTCTGGTTTTTTGTTTCTGACAACTTTACTCATGAGGAAGGAGTGTCCTTCCAGATGTTTTCACTGTTCAGTGCGCTGTTCTGCACACGGCGTATGTCTGAGCCTTTCCTTGTGGCATAACCAAGTGTTATGTGGCCCATCCGTGTGCAGCTGGCCGCTGCCGACACAGCCCGAGGCGGGAAGCGTGGCTCTGCGGAGCTGCCTGCAGCCGAGTCGTCCCGGCAGAGGCTGATGCGGACAGCGCTTTCTGGGCGCTGCAGATGCCCCCGCGGCTCAGGCACGCACCCCCCCACCCGCCCGCTGCCTGACGGGCCGCAGTTCTTGCCGGGTCCGATCTGAGCAGAAGATAGGGCAGACATTGTGTTTTGAGTTCGTGGCAAGCTGTTCACCCTACATTTCAGGCAGAGATTCCGTTTTTTAAGAGCATGGGACGTAATCAAAGCCGCCGCCTGAGTTTTTCTTCTTCCGTCGTCAAGTTGAACGTGTTTTCCACGCGAACAGTGTGGCTGGGCATTCACATGCCTCCGTCTGCTTGTTGTGACAGGAGCCCCGCTTTCTATTACTCCCTGGGGACGGCGCTCGGCGTCCTGATGGCACCGGTCTTCCTGCTGCTGCTGGTGAGAAGGTGCATTCGTAAGGTGGGTGAGCCGGTGGGGGAGCCGGTGGGGGAGCCGGTGGGGGAGCCGGTGGGGAGCCGGTGGGGGAGCCGGTGGGGGAGCCGGTGGGGAGCCGGTGGGGGAGCCGGTGGGTGCCGTGAGCGCAGCGTGCAGCTCGGGGTCCTTGTGGGCAGGAAGCTTGGTCAGACGGATCCGCGCTGATTATGGTGACTCCTCATGCAAGCTGTATTTCTACGTTGCACAGACTGGCTTTAAAACGTACCTTTTCTAGAGAGTTCCTGTTTATTTGATTGCCGTCTGTAGGTTTCCGTAGTACGTCTTGCTGATACTTTTCTGGAGACCCTGTCATTCTCTAGGTAACGTGTTCATTCTCAAGGGGATGTGTTTTCCTTGTGAGTGACAGGGACGATTTATGCTAAGAGAGTCTCTCTGACCTCGGCCTCGCTGAGGAGTCTCACGCGGCCGAGCCATCGGGCTGTGAATAGCAGCGTCGCTGCCTCTGCGGATTGCTGCGTTGTCATCCGTTCCCCAGAACAGAACGAGGAGACGCAAATATTAGTTCACGACGATAATGTTGCCGTCCCTCTGCTGAAAGGGTGCAGCCCAGCATCACCTGGAGATAAATTGTTCCCTGCACAGCGCTGCTCCAGCGACAGCGGGCGTGCCGGCCCGGGCGCCCTGCCCAAGTGCAGGCTGCGGCTCAGGTCCTGCACCTGCGAGTCTGCATCCCGGCGGCTCCCAGGGCGCCAGGGCTGCCGGGCCGGGGCCGGGGCCGCACCTGTAATCAGACCCGAGGGCCGCGTTGACGGCCACGCGTTTGTGTAGAGCAGTGTCTGGTACGGGGGGCTGTGTGCTTACTTCTGCGGTTACGAGCGCGCGTGACCCGAACGCTGTGCGTTTGTTTTTCCACACGCAGTGCAGCAGCTTTGGGGCTGTGATGGTTGCTTGTTGGCTTGCTTCAGTGTATGTGGTGTGCCAGTGGATGGAGAACCTGCCATGGCTGTGGGGTGAGCACAGGATGTATGTCGTAGGTAGGTAACGTTTTAAGATCCGTTCTATTATCGGGAAAGCTGCAAAGTGCCACTGGAGGCCTTCTCTTGGCAGATGTTCCCGGCATCTAGGTTTCCCTTGGAGCTAAGCAGCGCTGTTTAAAATCGTATTTTATTTGTTCCCATAGTTGGTGATTTCAGTTCATTATTCGAACTCATCTTAGACCATATGACCTCCTTCTTCGTTGTCTATCCTCATGTTCAAAAGAGCAAAAACAATTTGCCCCTTTTGGCTACAGATGCTCTGACCACATCTAACTCGTGATGAAAAAGTTTCTATAAAATGTGGCTCTTTCGATCTTTGTCTTGATGTATTCAGCGCGAAAGGTGAGACGTCCTACATGTACGTGACGAATGAAACCCTGACTTTCCAGAAACGGAGGCATGGGGAGCCCCCTGTTCTCCTTGTTACCAAAACAGCACCCACTTTTCCTCCTGGTTTCATCGGGAGGTGGTGGGGGATCAGAGAACTGGCTTCCTCCTGACGCCTGACCCCGGATTTCGCACACAAGTTTATGCCCCCAAGTCAGAAGCAATACATGTTTTGTTTCATGTTACGATTTTATGTGTTTAGTTCATGGTTCTTATGCTAACGTGTTTTTTAAAGTAAATCACCCATATGATGGTATGGTCCCCTAAATACTTCACTAAGCGCTTCTAAAAACCAAGAGCATTTTCCTCTATAGTCAAGTATCAAGTCTAAAAAGAAATTAAAAATCCAAAGCATCTGTCACCCAGGCCACGCTGACGTTCCCTCCACGGCCTCGGTGGTGGGTTCGAGTAAGCTGCGCTGTAGTCGGGAATCACGCTTTGTACCCGTTCTGCCCTGTTCCCATCACAGGGCACACTGACGAGACCACGCTTTGGATTTCTCCGGTTCCCGCTCTGTGGTGTAAGTCAGCTGTGTTCCTCTCTCGCCCGCATGTCCTTTAAACGGGACCTTCGGCCTTGGGGCTCGCTCAGACGCAAACGCACGCGGCTGGACCCGCCCGAGACGCAGACCCTCTCGCGGTCCCTCGGCGTTGGCTGGGCCCGGGCCTGGTTGCCAGGGCGCAGCCGGTCCCTTCACTGTACAGTTCACTTTCTTTCTGTGGCCGGAACGTGAAAACAAAAAGTGGGGTTTGTAGCTGTGACCGGTGCTGAGGCTTCCCCCTGACCGAGGCCGCCCGAGGACGGTTGTCCTTCTAGGACTCTGGACTGAAAACTAGACACATGTTCCAATAGCTGACGATCATTCGCCCTCACTTACACCAAGGGTGGTTATTCACTTACTCATAACCGGTCAGCCCGTATCACATGAAGGAACAACAAGCCTTAGGTGCCTTTTTCAATTTTACTTCATTGGAAAAGAAAACAGAAGTGAAGGTTTTTCTGGTATGTTCTTAGCTCTCAGTCCAGGCTATGTCCATTTTTTTTTTTAATGTTTTTATTGATTTTAGAGAGGAAGGGAGAGGGAGAGAGAAAGAGAAACCTCAATGATGAGAGAGAATCATGGATCGGCTGCCTCCTGCACGCCCCCCACTGGGGATGGAGGCTGCAACCCGGGCCTGTGCTCTGACCGGGAATCAAACCGTGACCTCCTGGCTCATAGGTCGATGCTCAGCCACTGAGCCATGCCGGCCAGACCTCTGCAGGTTTTTACCATAAATTTTCAAGTTCTGAGTGATACTAGTTACATTCTTCTGCTCTTACAGGCTACGTCTTGACAGTTGGGTGTCTCAGCTTTGCTGCCTGTTACAGACGCGGGCCCCTGGTCAAGGAGAGGAGCCAGCGCCTCCTGGCATGGACGCTGCGGCTCCTGGCCCTGGCCCTGACCTGCGGCGGCGCCCCCATGCCCCAGGTCGCGTGGACCACCGTCGGCCTCATGCTGCTGCCCTGGGGTCTGCACTACCCACTGAGAGCCCTCAGGTATGTGCCGGATGCATCTTCTTTTTTCCTTGTAATTTGACACGAGCTCTGGTTGTGTTGATGGTTTGGGGGATATTTGGACATATCGTGTTTGATCGCATAATGGACCGCATTTCACCTGGAGCGTTCCCTCTGAGGGGAGGGGAGGCAGCGAGCCTGAGGGTGCATCTCGTTGCTGTTCTGAGGCTCACACCCACGCGGGTGATGGCGCTCCCCGGCTCCCTGACTTGTGACAGAGCGCCCTGGGCTCGGGGCTGCCTAGAGTTTCTACTTCATTCTGTCCTTCCTTCCATTGGAGCCAAACACGGCTGCAAAGGTATTTGCGGTGCTGATGAGATAAGAGTTAGGGCTCGGAAATGAATCATTGGGGTGGAAGATGCGATGACATTCAGGGCTTTCTTTTCTCGGGTTCAAGGCGAGGCTTCGGCCTCGTGGAAGCCCAGAGGATGGGGGACCGCGGAGGGGACGCTCTGTGAGGCCGCCTGGTCGGTCGCCGCGTCGGGCTGAGCGCCTGCCTGCATGTCGTGCACAGATGAGGGGCTCCTGTCCCTGCACTGTGCTTGCTGGCACCGAGGCGTACGCTGTCACGCACACTGTCACGCACGAGGTGCGAACGTAGGCCTGCCCAGCACCAGGCATCGGGAGCTCAGGGGCACTTCTGGAGGAGCGAGCACTGGGCCACGTCTTAATGAGTCAGAGGCCAGGTGACTAAGTGTAGGGAGGCTCTCCCACGGAGAGAAAGCCCTGATGGGCATCGTCGTGAGGCAGGCGAGTGAGGCAGCGTGGACAGTGTGAGCGGGGCGGGCATGGACGGCGTGAGGGGGCGGGCAGGACAGTGTGAGCGGGGCGGGCAGGACAGTGTGAGCGGGGCGGGCAGGACAGTGTGAGCGGGGCGGGCAGGACAGTGTGAGCGGGGCGGGCGTGGACAGTGTGAGCGGGGCGGGCATGGACGGCGTGAGGGGGCGGGCAGGACAGTGTGAGCGGGGCGGGCATGGACGGCGTGAGGGGGCGGGCAGGACAGTGTGAGCGGGGCGGGCGTGGACAGAGTGAGCGGGGCGGGCATGGATGGCGTGAGGGGGCGGGCAGGACAGTGTGAGCGGGGCGGGCATGGACGGCGTGAGGGGGCGGGCAGGACAGTGTGAGCGGGGCGGGCATGGACGGCGTGAGGGGGCGGGCAGGACAGTGTGAGCGGGGCGGGGCGTGGACAGTGTGAGCGGGGCGGGCATGGATGGCGTGAGGGGGCGGGCAGGACAGTGTGAGCGGGGCGGGCATGGACGGCGTGAGGGGGCGGGCAGGACAGTGTGAGCGGGGCGGGCATGGACGGCGTGAGGGGGCGGGCAGGACAGTGTGAGCGGGGCGGGCATGGACGGCGTGAGGCAGCGTAGGCCATGCAGTGAGTCTAGGCTGATCAGGCACAGGGCGGGCAGAAGCCAGTGCAGCTGAGGGGTGCTCCCTGGCGATGCCCAAGGAGCTCTGTACCCGGCGCTCGGGCCTGCAGGCAGTGCGTGGGTGCCGAGCGGGGCCGAGGCCGTGGGGCCGGGAGGATGTGGGAGTGTCACGGGGGTTGCACTGCAGCTCACCAGGCGCAGTGGCCTCAGCCCGAGCTGGTGCTGCCTGTGGGAGTTTGGGTCCTGCTTTGCCAGGTCTCCTGCTTTTCTAAAAAAGCCAGGAATGTGGATGAGGATGTGATTCTTGTGATTTTTAAATGTTGCCAACTGATCTGAAAATTAAAATATTCAAAAAGCAAAAATCAAAGCCGAGACCAAGGACACCCCCAGGCCGCGGATGTGGCCCATCGTGTCTGGCAAAGGGTGGGTCCGGGGCAGGGGCAGGGGCAGGGGCAGGGGCAGAGGCCGGGGCCCAGTCCTCAGACGTCGCAGTGGTCCAGGCCAGAGGTGGGAGGTGAGGAGCACCTGGTGTGAGGCCTGGAAGAGGAGCTAATGAATATTCATGAGGCGAGCGAGGCTGTCAGGAAGGAGACTGGGAGCTGGTGGTTTATGGATCTGTGACTGCATGTGGGGTGATGTCACGGGCTCAGATGGGCCCGGGCCAGGACAGAGTCCGGTGCAGAGGGTGTGGGTGAGGCTGAGCAGGCAGGGCGGGTGGGAGGGGCTGAGGCTGGCTGACGGCTCTGCTGGGGTCGGAGCCCAACAGTGACCGGGATCCCAGAGGCCCTCGGTGGGAGGAGGCTGACCACTCCCCTCGTCCAGGCCCTGCTCATGGCCAGGCCGGCATCCTGCGGGCCAGGGTGGACCTCCTCCTCCTCCCCTTCCACCGCCCGCCTGCGCAGTGGCCTGTCAGCCTCAATGCGCGTTGTTACCGTGAGCGCCGTCACCGTGCACAGGTCCGCCTCCCGCCTCCCGCCTCCTGCCTCCCGCCACGCCGCTGGTGGGCGATGGCCTGAAGGGCGAGGGGAAGACGGGAGCGTATTTATAGGCTAAGGAACGGGCCAGAGAAACAGCACCCTGGTGCCAGCGTGCTTTCCGGCTCTCAGAGCGCTGTGTGAGTTTGTTTCTATAACGTCGGCAGCTGTCTTTGTTTCTGTACTTACCGAACACACTATGGGCGCTCGCTGCGCTGAGCCCTTGATGCGAGTGTCGCCTGCAGCCTGTGCGGTGACAGGTGAGGTGGGTGCTAGGTGCCTCCGGGGTCTCACGTGAGCAGCTCGGGCTCGGCACGGCACGGGGGCGGAATTGCCCGGTCCCCACGGTGGGCGGGCCTCGGAGCCGGGCTGTGCCGGTCGTCCCCACAGAGGCCGGCGGGCGCTCAGAGGAGACGGTTTGGACGGTCCCTGAGCTAGCACATCAGCCCCCAGGATCTTTACAAGGAAAAGCCTTTCAGGTCCGGATCCCCCAGAAAAATGCACTCGGGACCCCCCGCTGGTGATTCCATGCTCACTCCCATGAGAGAGTCTCCCTTAGATTAACATGTGAACGGCCCGCAAACATTTCAGCGCTCATTTATAAATAATCGGTTAAGACCTTGTTCATTGTCATTAGCATTTGTATGAGAGGCTTCCCTTTGGGACTCCCTGGTAGGAAAGCACTTCGGGTCCTGAGCACACGGCAGAGCGAGAGCTGGTGTAACTCACCGACACACACGCCCTGGGCACCGACACACATGCGCGCGCGCGCGCACACACACACACGGCCCTGGGCACTGACACATACGCGCTCACACACACACACACACACGCGCGCGCGCCCTGGGCACTGACACACACGCGCTCACACACACACACACACACACACACACATGCGCCCTGGGCACTGACACATGCGCGCGCGCGCCCTGGGCACGTCCCCCCTCCAGGGGCGGCCACTCCGCAGCGGGGGCCGCAGGGCCTCCTGCTTTCGGTCTGGACGGGGAGCAGCGAGTCTCCATAGCCGCCCCGAGGCCCACCTCTCGGTGCCGAGAGAAGCAGCCCGTCCTGCACCAGGAAGCCAGGCCTGCGCCGTCCCCTGGGCGGTTCAGTCACCGGGAAGGAAGACGCACTGACATCTCTCCCGGACTGGCCCTCAGAAGCCACATTAGGGCCTGAGGTCCATTAGGATGGCCTGAGGAGGGGCGTGTGCCAGCAGGCCCGCGCTGCGTGTTCTAATCCACATTCACGAGAGCAGCATGAAAGCGTGGTCCCTGCTTAGCATGTACAGCGTGGTACACAGGAGGGGAGGAACCATGACCATGGCTGTTCAGAGTCTTGGGAGTTGAGCTGAATGACCCGCCGCGGCCAGGAACCTAGCAGCCGACTGCCGTGTCGTAGGAACGCGAGGAAGTGGCTGAGGTCCCGAAGGCTGGCGGTCAAGTACCTGACTGAGGAGCAGTACCGGGAGCAAGCTGCCGCCGAGACCACCCGGGCCCTGGAGGAGCTGCGCCAGGCCTGCCGCCGGCCCGACTTCCCGTCCTGGCTGGTCATGTCCAGGCTCCACGCGCCGAAAAAGTAAGCCCCGCTCGGCCCCGGGCCCGGGTTCGAGTCGCTGCGAGGGTCCGTGATGGCTGGTGCAGGCCCCGCGTTAGAAGCATCCGCGCCCAGCAGGCGAGCGAGGCTGCCAGAGCCGCTCCCCTGGGGCCCTGGCCCAGGCCCAGGCAGAACTGCGAGTGTCAGAGCAACAGCTCGGCTCCTACCGGGAAGGGGCTCCTACCGGGAAGGGGCCCATAAGGGAAGGCGGGAGGCAACGCCCAGAGGAGCCAGAGGGTGGGATGGCTGCGGCCCTGCTTCTGCTGGTGTGGGCAGTGATGCTGGAGGCCTCTCTGCCCGCATCCTCCGCTCTGCTCCCCTCCTGCAGGCTTCAGTCAGACCCCCTGCCCCCAGGGAAAGGTGGAGGGCTTCCGTCAGACCCCCTGCCCCCAGGGAAAGGTGGGGGGCTTCAGTCAGACCCCCTGCCCCCAGGGAAAGGTGGGGGGCTTCAGTCAGACCCCCTGCCCCCAGGGAAAGGTGGGGGGCTTCAGTCAGACCCCCTGCCCCCAGGGAAAGGTGGGGGGCTTCCGTCAGACCCCGTGCCCCCAGGGAAAGGTCGGAGGGGAAGTGTCGACAGTAAAATAAGGAACAGATCCAGGCTCAGGGGAGAGGAGAGCGTTAGGGAGCAGAGTGGATCTCGGCAGCGCTGGGCTGGCGTCTGCCCCCGCCCTCCCTGAAGGTCCCTCGGCTTTCACCTCCCGTGTAAACGCCACTCTCATTGCCGCCGCCCGCACTTCTCTAAGGGGACACGGAGCAAGGGAGCTGTTTTCTTCCCAGCAAACCTTTCCGTGGTCACATGAACTTTCTTTACAACAAACACAAAATACTTAATAGGTTTGCAGACTTCGTCCTTGGAGGAAGCCACTTGTCGCCCGAAGAAATGCGTCTTCACCAAGAGTACAGCCTGAGGGGCGCCTTCCTGGAGGAGCAGCCCTTTAACCTGGGGCAGGCGCAGCGGCCGAGGCCTGAGTGTCCTGCCCCTGCCGCCTGCCCTCTGCCCCCACCCCCTGCCCCTGCCCTGGCCCTGCCCCCGCCCTCTGCCCCTGCCCCTGCCCCCACCCCTGCCCCCGACCTTGCCCTTACCCTGCCCCCGCTCCCCTGCCCTGCCCCTGCCCTGTCCCCACCCTCCGCCCTTGCACCCGCCCCTGCATGTCACTCAGGACCAAGATGTGTGTAGTAGCAGAGGGGATGGTGGCAGAAGACGTGGCCGTGGGAAGACCCAGGCGCACGGGAGAGGACGGTCCCTCGCGGCCAGCCTGCTGTTTATCCTGCTGCACCCGCGTCCTGGGCCTGCCATCGCCACTTCCCTCGAGTGAAGATCTCCACTCGGAACAGGGGGACTGTGTTGGCCTCCAGGGGCCAGCGAGCCCGGGTCAGTGCCTGTCGGCCCCAGGGCACCGCGTGCTCTCTGCCCCAGAGCCTGTCTCCCCAGATGGTGCCGGCGCAGGTGCTGGGAGGCCGACCCGTGTGCCCAGCGCGTCCGAGTGCTGATCAGTGCTGCTCAGGACAGGGATTCTCAGGTCAACTCAGATGGACACCGCATGCAGCAGGACTGCCCAGGGCCTTTAAGGGCGCCAGTGCCCACGTGTCTCAGGAGAGATTGCGTCGCGGTTTCCAATTTCATTTGCCCACAGACCCGTGTTCCAGGAGACGAGGATTCCTTGGCTCACGTGTGAAGAACGTGCTACTGATGGAGGCGCTGGGGTCTGGGACGCGCAGCAACTTGTCCCAGCCCACACTCAGCGGCCGCGCGGGGTGGCGCTTCAGCCCTGGCATGGCCCACAGCCCGGCGAGGAGGCCTTCCCCAGCCCTGGCCTCACTGGACTGGTGACTTTTTTATATTTAGTAACAGCCCTCTAGCTATTTGGTAGCTGATGAAGAGAAACATTTCCTACGCTTCTATTTTAGAGTTTTGGTAAGGCTTTTATAGGTAGAGTCAGATTAGCATCACTTTTGTGTTTCCGTGTGTTGAAGCTGGAGGCATTTGCCCTCTCGTGACATTTTGCATCGACGGTTCATTTCTAAAACCGCCGAGCTCTCTATTCGGTAACAGTTCCCTGCAGGACAGATCTGTGATCTTCCTCACGGAGAGCAGGCCTTGTCCTGGACGCCTCCTGTTAAGACTCCAGGGGAAGGAGGGACTGACTGTGAGTGCCGCGTGGACCGAGCCCAGGAGGCCCACGCGGAGGACTAAGACGTGGATCCGACGTGGCACAGCGGCCCGGGGGCGACGGTGTCGCCGAGTGGGTTCTGAGACCCTGAGGCATCGAGCGAGCGGCCTTCCACTGGAGAGGAGAGGTCGTGGGGGTGGGGGGTGGGGGGGGTGGGGGCGCGTGCGAGAGCTGAGGACGCTCTCCCGAGCCAGGTCTCGTGGCCTCGTTCTCACTTGTTGCGTAGCCTGGCTACCCGTGTGGGACTTTCTAGATTGATCTTCCAATGCTCTTGCCCCTCCAGGCAGCATTTACAGGCCTGCGGTGTTGCCAGACACCAGTTCATGTGAGGAGCTCTGTTCTTTCTGTAAAATGCACTAAATTCAATCTGTGCTTTCACACAGCCTCTGATTTTACTTATTTTTAATGTTTTTATTGATTTTTTTAGAGAGAGAGGTAGGGAGAGAAACAGAGAGATAGAAACATGGACGAGAAAGAGAATCATTGATCAGCTGCCTCCTGCACGTCCCACACTGGGGATCAAGCCCTAAACCCAGGCATGTTCACCGGGCATCAAACCGTGACCTATTGGCTAATGGGTCTCCGCTCGACCACTGAGCCACACCAGCCGGGCAGTAGCCTCTGATTTTAAAAATCAAAGTGTCTCCCGTTCAGATTTATGATGAGGTTTCATAGGTGGTGTTACAGTTCAGGCTGATGTTTTGTAATTGTATTTGCTGGTGACACGTGACACATGCACACGTCAGATGCGTCAGTATTTGTCTCCCTGCACTCCTCTCCCCAGAGGCAGCTGGTGTCCCACCACACGCGTGTGACTAAGGGGGCCCCAGGCCTTGCCTGTGCCGGGCACGGAGGTGCTGACCAGCCGGGGTAACCGTCACCATAGAAACAGCTGGCGTTGGCTTCAGTTATGCCGTAGAGGACGCCGTGGATTGTCCGTGTCTGTTATGAGGACTGTGGAAGGCTGAGCCATTAAAGCGTCACTTGTGATGTGGGGTGCCTTTCCCTGGGGTTCGTTTGATTTGGGGTTCGTTGTGGTGCTGCTCACAGTTCTGATCCCCATCAAGTACTATGTGGCTAGCTCCCCTGAGATTCTCTCCCCCTTCCTTCCTCCTTCCCCATCTCCCTCTCCCTCCCCCGCCTTCCTTCCTTTGCCTAAAGGCCTGTACCGGGTAGATGAGCACTCTGTGAAGCAGCTCTGTCCCTCAGGAGGTGAGCTTCGTGCCTCCGGCCGCCAGAGGTGCAGCCGGGGCCGGCCAAGAGGCCTCCCCGAGCCCTTGGCCGGCCGCTGCTTGCGCCGGTGCCTCACCAAGCTCACTGTCCTTAGCAGGTGGGAGGGGCTCTGACACCAGCAGTGCCGGTGAGACTCCCGGAGGTGGCCAGGCCTGCACAGTCGTGCCATTCAAACGCCGTGTTTAAAAGGTTTTAGGGCACATTTTACACATCTCAGGAAACGCGTTGTGAATTGGGTGTGTCGTTTGCCAGTACTACTGAGGGGTGGACTAGAGGGCAGTGCCCATCTGACACTGAGGAGGATGTTTGAATGTGTGACTTTTTAAAAAAATCCAGAAACTGAACAGATTTGAGATTTTAGGAGGTTTAGGATAGATGATGGGTTACATCAACATGTGTAAACATGTGGATGAATTAAACCCCGGAAATGATGTCCAGAAGAGGAGGAGGATCTTATGTGATTCTGCATGTGATTGTCCCCGAGTTAGAGTGCAGGTTGTTAAACCGCTTTCTGGTCCAGTGGGTGGAAGGGGCTGGGCGCTCTGGCCTGATGGGCGTGGGGTCTGGAGAAGCCCGCAGTGAGGTGTTCAGGCGACGCCAGGAGCCAGCTGCCTTCTGAGCCAGCCCACTGGGTATGACACTGATGAGCTAACGGGTGGCTGTGCCCCTGGGCGTTGACCCAGGACCCCCACTTGGCCATCACCCCTAAGAAGACCTTGCTCACAGCAGCCAGCCGTGTGGTCTGCCAGGCACGGTCCACAGCAGCCGTGTAAGGGCGTGAGGACAGACCGTGGAACCCATAGGACCAGCAGATCCCCCTCGGAAGGCAGCCCCACCGGCGTCAGGCGTAGTAAGAGCCCTGCCCGGTGGGCAGAAAGGACAAGGTTGCTGTGTTGCCCACGTCAGTGTCATCAAACCCACACGTGATGCACCCCCCGCCCCCGGGCCTAACCTCACCGAAGTGACAGCATGCCCGGTGTCGGCCACGACCGCCCCTTCCTGGACGCAGGCCCGAGCGCCTTTTCCTCTCGGCGACTCCTTTTCTCATCTTCGGTTCTCGACCGGAAGCCCCTTCGGGAGGGCGTGCTCTGCACTGAGATGTGAGAGGCTGCAGCCTTCCTGTGGCCCAGGAGTCCAGTTGTCTTGAGGTAAATGCGTATTTTTGCTCTGACCCCTGAATGTGCTACCTAACGCGTCACCAGAGATTAGGGATGAGGATGCACTCACCAGGAGAGATCAGGAGGTGCCTTCCATGGGGCAGCTGCTCTTCTTGTTTTAATTGGGGGGGGCGGGGGGAGGGGAGGAGGCTGGCTGGCTGGTGTGGCTCAGTGGATAGAGCGTTGGCCTGCGGACTGAAGGGTCCCTGGTTCGATTCCCGCTCAGGGCACATGTCCGGGTTGCAGGCTCGATCCCCAGTAGGGGGTGTGCAGGAGGCAGCCAATCAATGATTCTCTCTCATCATGGATGTTTCTATCTCTCCCTCTCCCTTCCTCTCTGAAATCAATAAAAATATATTTTTAAAAAAATAATTGGGGGGATGTTTGTTTTGGTTTTGGTCCACTTTCCAGAAAAGCAGTGATGAAGCGGGGAGAGGGGAGTCGGGGTTTACTGGAGGCCCGTCAGGCACTGTACTAGGCACTCGAGGTGCCTCCTCTTGAACCTCGTCGCCGTCTGTCCTGTTTGGTGTTGCATCAAAGAAAGAGTCTGAGGTGCCTAAGCTGCTGAAGACCATTCAGAGCTGAAGGGTCAGCATAGAACTTGAGCCCCAGGGTGTCGATGCCCGCTACTTCCTTTACTGGTTTTATAAACAGCCAAGGAAGCGGCCCCCAGCCCATCCGTTCTGTCAGTGCTGTGCACCCACCATCACATGTGCCTTGTAGGTGCGTGTCCACACGGTGCTTCTAAACTACCTGGGGTGATGGACCGCCCCCCCCCCCCCATCCACCACAAACAATACTTCTGTAAAGTTAGAAAAATTAAATATTTTTTAACAAGGACACACCAAGTACAAGCCCCTCCCGGCTCCGGTGGCACTGGTCTTCAGAGTCCCTCCAGCCTGAGTTTTCTCTGCCAAACCCAGTCCCCACCAAGTGTGCGGGGTCTGCACTCCCCGCCGACAGAGCTGAGCGGGAGGTGCTGGCTCCCTCGGGGTCTGCGAATGTCCGAAATGGAAACACAGCCACACGCACCTGTCCCCGGCCTCGGCGAGGGAGGGTTCAGCCAGGGGCTTTCTGGCTTGTTCTAAACGAAGCCAGTGTGGGCCCCCTGCATCCTGGGGGGAGGGGGTGCTGGGCACCTGCCCGCTGGCATCCGCTTGGAGCTAGAATCCTGGCCTTGACCCCATGTCTGAGCTGTGTTCGCCCCAGAGACCTCCTAGTGAAAGGGGGTGGCGACAAGGATGAGCCGATCATGTCAGCACATCACAAGCATGTGGGGCTACGGGTGTGGGTCCCCTTTTCCTTTAAATTCTCTTTAAAAAAATTTTTCTATTGCTTTCAGAGAGGAAGGGAGAGGGAGAGAGAAACATCAATGATGAGAATCATGGGTCGGCTGCCTCCTGCACACCCCCTCCTGAGCATTGAGCCCCAACCCGGGCATATGCCCTGGCCAGGAATCAAACTGTGACTTCCAAGTTCAGGGGTCAATGTTCAACCCCTGAGCCAGGCTGGCCGGGCTGGTTCCCCTTTCCCGGGAGCCCCTGCTTCACCCCGGATTGGCTGCAGGAGACACTGCTAGGTAACAGCCCGCACCTGCAGCGCCCACCCCAGCAGCGGAAATGCAAATCCGAGGGGAGCCCCAGCCAGCGGCCACTTCGCGTGGCCAGCGAGGGCTCACCGGCGGGTGGAGCTCCGTGCGGGGTAGTCGTCTGTTCTGCTTACGGCTTTGAGGAACGCTCACCTCTGCAGCCACATACGCAGCACCGTGGCTCGTCCCCTTTCCCGCCATCAGAGGAAACCGTCCGAGTCAGTCATGGAGGCGGCGATTACCAGCCGGGGCTGGGAGGCACCTGGGCATGTGCAGGAAACCCCGGGAGGGTTACACAGTCCTCAAGTCAGAGTTCACTGGAATTCACTTCCATCTGCTTTAAATGGCACCTGGGGGGCAGGACGCACAGGGGCCTCCCCGAGGGGCTCCGCTCACGGCTCCCACAGGCGGGGACCTGCTGGGACTCATTCCAGGGGAAGCGCTTCCGTGGGGGTGGCCCCTTCGTTATCATTAGGAAACGGTTGGACATGGTGTTTATTTTTATCTCGGCGTAGCAACTGCATTCCCCAAACGGCGGCTTTTCCAGTGAAGACGTCAGGACTGTAAACACGAGAGACACCGTGAGTCAGTTCACACGTCCACCTGCCGTACGTCACCCTCACGGCGAGGGCCGCCTGCGCGCGTGTCTTTATTTCTGAAGTCACATAAGCACAATAAATACATCGGATTTGGAAAGGTCACTTAAGATGAGTCATGATGATCTACGGTACAGTACGTCTCAGTTCAAGTGCAAAAATAACTGCTTAATTCCACTTCTTTCCCTTATTATTTCTTTTAAAGCTGTGTTTTGTGGAGCCAGATCTCCACGCGTGGGATGTCTCCTCCCCGTGCAGTTTTAGGCGGACGTAGATTCCACGGAGCCGCTCTTACTCGACCACTGACCCGTGGAACGGGGCCAGGGGGTAAGCGAGTGGCTCCTCTTGACCGTCCTTCCCTTTCCTCCTCCTCCGCTCCCCGACAGCGACTATCCACGCGGACTGGCCCTCATTCCCCTGGCGGCTCCCTTTCCCCGGGCTCCCCACTTCCCGGGGACCTCGTCTTCATTGTTAGCAGCGAGCTTTGCACGAGTCACCGGCCGTGGCCCCGACAGTAGTGGTATGTTCACAGCAGCAAGCCCACAGCCACGTCCAGTGTCTGACTGTCCCCACCCAAAGCGAAAACCCACCCCTTACGTAACTTCAAAAGCTGTATCCCTCCCCCAGGCACTTCCATCTTATACTGTTACTTGGGAATAGCACTGCTTCGCTAAAGAAACCCTTAGGAATTCAGCGAGTAAGAAAGACCCGCCAGCAGAGCCGAGCCCGAATCACCAGGAACCGTAAAGCCTGGTCGAGGCGACTCGCAGCATCACCATGGCCAGCGCCCCTCGCCTCTCGCCCGGACACGGAGGCGCGGGCTGCTCTGGAATGTTCCCTGCTCCGGCCCTGCAGCCCGTGGAGAACAAACGGCCGGTGAACGCGCCGCTCGGCTCGCGGGGTCCCCGAGCTCTGCTCAGGGGCGCGGCTGCTTTCCTCGCCTTCCTCGCAGACAAAACGCCCCTGCGGAGCTCGGGACCCCGAGGCCACGCTCCCGAGGACTCTCCTTCCTCTTCTGAAACAAAAGCACAGCCGCTGCTCACTGTCACCCGCCCCCGGGACTCTTTACGCACAACTTCCAAAGGGTTCTCTTCAAGAGAAGCAAAGCGAGAGGCGGCGCCTCCTCCCGTTCGCATGAAGAGCCAGATAACGAATAAATAACGAGAAGGGACCCGCCCTCGGCGCTCACCTCCCTCCACTTAGTGTGACTCTGCACCCCGACCCACCCCAGCCCGCCCGCGAACGGGGGTCCCCGCGAGCCTCCAGCGGGCTGGGGGTGGAACGGCTCCTGCCGCTGTGCACTGTGGCTAGTGTGTGTGTGTCTCCACGCCGACGGGTTCAGATACTCAGAAGCGTGTGGTGCGATGCTCAAGGCGGGCGTGTGCCGGGCGCGGGACGCCTCCCGGTCCGAGGCCCCGTTCCATGCAGGGGTGAGGTGGGCAGGGCCCTCAGGGTCCCCCAGCGGCGGGCAGGGCCTGCGGGTCCCCACGCTTGGCAGGCTGGTTGGAGCTGGGGTGGGCGGAGCTGCTCTGCGTCTGCGATGCTGCTGATGGAGGGGGCGGCTGGCTGCTAGGGCGGGCGGAGGGCTTGTCACTGGGGGTGGGCCGGGCTCCGGCAGCGGGAGAGTCTCCCCGGTTCTCACTGGTCCCCTGGAAGGAGAAGAACGGAAGGAAGGCGGCTGTGGTCCAGCAAAGCACCTTTCCCATAGGCTTCCCCGTGAGATGCAGGCGCGGGAGGGCATCCGGGGACCACTCGGGGGCCAGGAGGAGAGGAGGGGAGGAGAAGGGCTTACCTTACATCTCTTTTCCTGTGTGCAACTGCCAGAGCCGCATGAAAAACACAAACACTGTGAGCAGACAGACCTCGTGGGAAAGGAGCATCCCTGTCCACACGCCTGCCACTACCAGGGCGCCATGGACACCCACAGGTGTCAGAGCCGCCAGCCGCGGCCAGTCCCTGGGCTAACGCGGGACCTGCGGCCTCCTGCTGAGGCCACGTGCTCACCCCTGACCCCTACAACCAGGACACTTGCTTTGAACCAACCACACACGGCTCTCCTCTGAGCCAGTGCAGCCACTTCAAATAGCTGGGCGCCACACAAAACGCTTTATTTCTGCGATTGATTCTAAAATGAAAAAACATCGTAGTAATGGCTTCTTCCTAAGACTGAGCCATACCAGCCAGCTTTTATTAGCATAAAATGTTAACATGCCAGAAAAAAAACTGTGACGGTCCTTAAGCCTCAGAGGCTTTGGTGAAAATGAGGAGTTAAGTACCCAAAGTAATGAAAACTGTCCGCGCAAAAGCCATCCTTTCTAATCCACTCATCTGCTGGTGGGCACTTGGGCTGTTTCCAAATCTTAGCTATGGTGAATCGAGCTGCTATGAACATAGGGGTGCATATATCCTTTCTGATTGGTGTTTCTAGTTTCTGTGGTACATCTACACAATGGAGTACTACGCTACTGTAAAAAGGAAGGAATTCCTACCATCTGCAACAGCATGGAGGGACCTGGAGAGCATTATGCTAAGCAAAATAAGCCAGTCAGAGAAAGATAAATACCACATGATCTCACTCATTTGTGGATTATAATGGACAACATAAACTGATGAACAAAAACAGATCCAGAGACAGAGAAGCATCAGTCAGACCGTCAAACCTCAGAGGGAAGGCAGGGGAGGGTGGGGGTGAGGGGGAGAGATCAACCACAGGACTTGTCTGCATGCACATAAGCATAAGCGATGGACACAGACAACAGGGAGGTGAGGGGGCAAAGGGGGGGGGTAAGGACACATATATAATACCTTAATCAATAAAGAAAAAAATAAATAATGAAGATAAGATGCAGCAAAAAAAAAAAATAATAAAGCCATCCTTTCTTCTGCCTCAAGTCCCGCCCACCGACGTGCTCCTTCCTGACACGCAGGGGACCCGGTGAGCTTGTGACCTTCACAAGGAGGGTCATGCCTAGGCCAGAAGGCATCATGCTTCTCAGTGACGACGAGGCTTGGTTTAAGTTACAGAATGTTATGTTAGTTTACAAGGTCGTGATAAAGACAGTTCCAATCTTCCAAAAAGGAAGTTGCCAAACTGCTCTTTATGTTTCAGTCTTTGCCCTCCTCTTTTCTGATGTGTCCCCTGGGGCTACGCCAGACACGGGGCGGCCGTGACCGACCCACCGAGTGGAAGGCGGTGGGTGAGCCGGCAGGGAGGCGGGCCCATTGCCGTGGCCGGGCTGCCCCCGACGCGCACGCGGCCCCCCCGGCGGCTGGCGCTGTCAGTTACCCAGTTTCCTCCGCCGCAGCGGACTCCGCTCAGGAGAGACCATACCTCTAAGGCAAGAAAATCACACCTTTTCTTTTTCACCTGAGGCCCCAGCAAAACTACACTTCCACCGAGTTAATGTCCTCATCAGCCCGCACAGGCTCAGTGTGACCACTGCCTCACCAGACACCCTCAGGGCCTGTTCCTTAGCCTGTGCCCAGAGAGTCGGAATTACAGACACATCTTACTGCAGCTGCAAGCCATCGATGCTGAGAATTCAACGCAACATCAGATGTATTTCCGCTCCAGCAGGCACAATGCCCTCTCCGGGAGGCTGCGTACACCTCCACTACGCACCTGGCACGGAGCAATGAGACCACCCCACAGACCTCCTGCAAACGGGGCGCACAGCTGATAGAGGGCCTGCCCAGGGCAGGAGGGAGGGAGGGCGCTACCTGCAGAGGCTGGATCTCCGAGGCGTGGCTCTCCCTGGCCAGCAGCAGCATCTCCTTCACCTGGTAGAGGGCGTAGACGAAGGTCACCCAGGGGGAGGCGCTGACGCCCCAGGCGGGCTTGCTGGCGTCCTCCTGCTCCTCCTGGTGCTTGGTCTTCTTGGGTGGGAGGCGCGGCTCGACGCGGGGCAGGACGTCCTCGGGCTGCTGCTGTACCAGGTCGATGGTTGCTATGGGGACAGGGCTGGATGGAACCGGAATCCTCTCCGCCAACATTGTCTTGTCTGGAGAGAAAGTCAGGATCGCATCATTGCTGCTGAGCCGTGGGAGTTCTTTACAGACTTTGGGTGCTGACCCCTCCTGGGCACCCGCATTGCCATTAAGTGGACCGACTAGTACTGGTCTTTCTTTCCGAGTAAGTTTTCATCAAAGAGCAGAGGAGCGTGAGGCTGGTCTTCCAGGGCCCCCTTACGTCTGCTTGCTGATGAAATGCGCTGTTCTCTACCTTGGCTATCACACCTGCGGCACAGGCTGCAGCACGGGTGCCGCGGGCCCACGCACAGGCCGGCCCACGGAAAGACGAGCATCACAGCAGGAAGGCCTCGAGGGAAGGCCTGAGACCAAGGCTGCAGGAGGCGGGAGCCGGTTAAGGGCATGAAAGACCAGCGTGAGAAGAGCAGTATTGTCTCCCTTTCTGAAGGGCTCGTTGACATTAAAATCTGTCCCTGAGTCTCTGCAAGGAGCTGGTTTTCCTAACAAAGCCCCTCAGGTGCCTGAGGCAAAGGCCACCCAAAGGAGAGGACCCCCAAGAAGAGGCTGGATCGGGCCCTGAGGCTGAGCGGGACTGTCTCCCTCTGCTGGGGGCCTTCGTTAAAGAAAAAGGAAAAGAAGTTGGTTTTAAAACGTTGAAAACTGCCTGGCTTGTGTGCTCCGTGGCTGAGCATTGACCCATGAACCAGGAGGTCAGGGTTCGATTCCCAGTCGGGCACATGCCTGGGGTTGCGGGCTCGATCCCCAATGGGGGGCGTGCAGGAGGCAGCCGATCAGTGATTCTCTCATCATTGATGGTTCTCTCCCCTGCTCCCTCTCCCTTCCTCTCTGAAATCAATAAAAACATTTTTTTAAGTTGGAAATTTGTTCTCATCTAAACATTATAGTTGCCGCAACTTTCTGTGTAACAGTTTTAATGAAGCCATACCTAATTGAGGGAAAACTTCGAAGTTAAGGTTTAGACTTTTTTTCAAAGGAAGATAAAATCATAGAGATTAATAGTACGTCTCATCCCTAGTAGGAAAATTGCTGTATATCAGCGATTCTCAACCTGTGGGTCGCGACCCCTTTGGGGGTCGAACGACCCTTTCACAGGGGTCGCCTAAGACCATCGGAAAACACATATAATGACATATATTGTTTTTGTGATTAATCACTATGCTTTAATTATGTTCAATTTGTAACAATGAAATTGGGGGTCACCACAACATGAGGACCTGTATTAAAGGGTCGCGGCATTAGGAAGGTTGAGAACCACTGCTGTAGAGCCTTACATCTACTTGACTTACATTTTACATACCTTTAGAGCACTAGAGAAGTGTAAAACCAATACTTCCAATCAGCAAGGACCCCCCAGGCTACCTGAGTGACCACTATTCTTTTCAGCACCGGAGGTGGCTTCTCCCCCGCAGTCCGCAGGAGCCCCTGGGAGCACCGTCAGCAACCTAGTCCCAGCCGCTCTCCACCCGGGTTCCCGGGCATGTGTGGACTCCCCGTGGCTTCACCCTTCAAACCACAGGAAAGCACGGCCGTCTACCTTCTTCCTCATCCGGCACTGCCAGCCACTGGATCAGGGCGAAGAGCAGGAGGATCACCAGGCAGCCCATGCCGATTCCCCGGAAGGTGGCAGCAGCCCCTGTGGAAACAAGCTGAGCTCTAAGGGAACCCCAGGGGAGGCAGGCAGCCCTCCCCCACACTCAGCGTTTGCAAGTTCAGGGCAAGGTAGCAGAGCGTGGGATGAACAGGTGACAGCAGATGGCCACAGCTTCACAGAGTGGGACACACCGGGGCTGGGCAGGTGTCAGGGGGCCGAGGGGGGTGTCAGGTGGCCCAGAGGGGTGTCAGGGGGCCAAGAGGGGTGTCAGGGGGCCCAGAGGGGTGTCAGGAGGCCCAGGAGGGTGTCAGGAGGCACAGGGGGGTGTCAGGAGGCCCAGGAGGGTGTCAGGAGGCCCAGGAGGGTGTCAGGAGGCACAGGGGGGTGTCAGGAGGCACAAGGGGGTGTCAGGAGGTCCAGGTGCTGGTACTGGGCCTGTCACTGGTCAAATTTTAAAACTGCATTTATGAACGCCTCTGAGAGCCTTTCACCATAAAATTCCATGGTGCTCTCTCCTCCATAGACGCCTCCCTGACTGTACACCGCCCTATTACTCAGTGGCTGGAGCTCAGACAGGCTAAAGCCAGGCACCCTGGGCCCACCGCCCGCAGCGGCCTGAGCGGGTGTGGCCTGGCACAGAGTGGCCTCGTGCTGCCCAGCCCGGCATTCCCGATGGGAGGCCCACAAGGCAGGCACACTGTGCGCACAGCAGGCTTCCTGGCTCAGATGCTCAGGGTGGACAACGATGATGGGTCTCGCCGCTGGGCATTCCCGGCCGCGTTAGGGTCGCTGACTTCAAACCACAGCCTGTGCTCACGCATTCGCTTGGCCCCTCTGGGTGTGTGTGGCCTCTCACTGGCTGTGGCCGGGGGTGTGCCCGGTGATGGCGCTGCCCTCGCCCTCGTGGCAGGCACACGGGTGTGCAGTCAGACCCCACGAGAGCCGGGGAGACTGTGACCGGGGGCTCGCCTCTGCGAGAGTGTCCATGGAGGAGTCGCTGGAAAGTCGTACGTTTTCACCCAAGAAGAAAGGGAGAAAGAGAACGCCGTTCTTACCGAAGTAGTTGACCAGCACGCCTCCGATCATGGCCCCGCAGCCTCGCCCCAGACCCAGGTGCAGGCCCTGCAGGATGCCCTGCGCCGACGTCCGCAGCTCGGGGGGCACCGCGGCGCTCAGGTAGGAGATGCAGGCCGCCCAGATGGCCGCGTGCGTCACGCCTGCGAGGGGGGGGGGGGGGGCACGGTGAGCAGCAGCTCAGGCTCCCTTTCCAGACAGGAGTCCCTCCCTCAAACGCACACACATCTGCCTGTGAGACAGGTTTCATTCGCCTCCGCATAACAGCGTTCCCCATGTTCCCCATTGGTAAGTGCATCGTTCGTGGCATTAGGCACGTTCACACTGTTTGCAGCCCTCACCACCGTCCATCTCCACAACTTCACCCCACCCTGAACCTCTTCCCCATCTAACCGGAGCTTGCCCCAGGCCCTGGGAACCCCATCCTAATTTCTTTTTTAATATTTTTTTAATTGATTTCAGAGAGGAAGAGAGAGGGAGAGAGAGAGAAACATCAATGATGAGAGAGAATCATGGATCGGCTGCCTCCTGCACGCCCCACACTGGGGATGGAGCCCACAACCCATGCATGTGCCCTGACTGGGACTCGAACCATGACCTCCTGGTTCCTAGGTCGACGCTCAACCACTGAGCCACACCGGCCGGGCCCCTATCCAACTTTCCGTCGCTGTGAAGTGAGTGCCTCGGGGCCTCGTGTAAGTGGACCGCACAGTCTGTCCTTCTGTGTTGGGCTCCCTTCCCCTAGCATAATGTCGCCAGAGTCCTCCGCGCTGCAGGGGTCCCGGATTCCTTCCCCCTCAAGGCTAGTACTCCATCGCATGTGGAAAACGCGTTTGTTTGCCCATCTGTCAAGGGACACTGGGTTGTACCCACCTTTTGGCTACTACCGTGAGCAGCGCTGCTCTGAACCAGGGGTGCAGTGTCTGTCTGAGTCCCTGCTGCAGTGCTTGGGGTGTATTCCCACAAGTGGGGTGACTAGGTCCTACGGGTAATAATCTATGTAACCAGCTAACTGCCGCGATATTTTGAATTTAATTGAAAAGGCCCACCGCGTGCGTCTATAGACGCGTATGGCGTACAGATGGTTAAACGTGGAGGCCCTGCCTGCCTGTGTCCACAGCAGCCGCACCCTGTTCCACGCCCAGCAGCGCACAAGAGCTGCGGGTCCTCCTCGCCCTCGCAGCCTTGTTACTGTCCGTGTTTATAACCACAGCAGCCGGGAAGGGGGGGGGGTCTCCCCGGGTTTGGACTTGCATTCCCAGTGGCCTGTGAGCACATTTCCCCTTTCTCCTTTCGGTCACTGGCCACCTGTGTGTCTTCTCTGGAGAAATGACTGCTCAGATCCCCTGCCCGCTCGTTTAAACTGGGTGGTCAGGCTGTTTTCGGGTTTGGGGCTTTTTTGCTGCTGTGTTGTAGGGGCTCTTTATATATTTTGGGTATCGGGCACCTACATTGACATTAAGATTATTTCCAACTTTTTTCCATTATAATTAGCAACGTGATTACCACTGTTGGAGATACAGCTTTTCATGGATCTCAGATTATGTCCGCTGCCTGGCATTCTACAGGTGGGGTTAATCAACAAAGGGCTGTAACAAGTTTTATGCTTTTTCACATATAACTCCCATTTGTTTGCCATTTACAATGCCTCCTCACCAGTTTCATTATATCTTCACCATTTGTTGGGGGGCGGGGGGAATAGAGATAACTGGGGGGGGGTCGTTATTTTACTGTAGAGCAGCTGCACCCTCTTTGGGTTTAAATCTCGAGCAGAGCGCTGCTTTCAATGTAATAAAAAGGTAGTAACACGACAGCCTTCACAATGGAGGGATGAGGAATCGTGCGGGCCTGGGAGGCTAAGTCATGGACTTGCTCCCTGAGAAATAACCCACGTGGAGGCAGTACCATCAGAAGCTCTTAACCTGTGTTTGGAAAACGGAACTAAAGGGTTAATATAAATGTAAGACTTAATCCGACATTCGTCTGCTCCTGGATGGACCCTTCTTCCTGAAACAGCCAAGACCTGGACAAAACACGGGAGTTCATCGTTCCCAGGAGCCTGGACATCAGCAGCAAGGACAGTGCCTGAGAGAAGGGAAACGAGGAGCCCCGCTTACTGCCTGGGGAGGGTCTGAGGGCGTCAGGCAGAGGGGGGGCCCTGGGCTGAGGAGGTGGAGTGGACAGTCTGGGGGACCAAGGTGGCTGGAGGTCCAGAGGTGAGGACCAGGGAGGAGAAAACTGAGGAGAGAGAGGACCAGAAAGGAGATAGAGGACCAGGGGGAGAGAGGACCAGGGAGGAGAGAGAGGACCAGGGAGGAGAAAACTGAGAGGAGAGAGGACCAGAAAGGAGATAGAGGACCAGGGGGAGAGAGGACCAGGGAGGAGAAAACTGAGAGGAGAGAGAGAACTGGGAGGAGAGAGAGCACTGATCAGCAAAGCAGGTGCAGCCACTTGGCAAAGCCAGGAAAGAGCCGCCTGGGAGCCTTTGAGAACCGTGCTCAGACCCAGGCCGGGCCAGGAAGAGGACTGGTCTCACCGGCCAGACCGGAAAAACTCGATTCCTGGGACTGCCGGGTACTCAGAACAGAATCAGCCCTAGTCTAACAGGGCTCCACCTACTGATCTTTAGCAGCGAGACCCTGAGGGTCCCACTGTTTCCAAGTAAGTAGCTGTGTCCCAGAAGGAGGCTCAGGGTAGAAGGACACAGCTTTACCCAGCAGCCAGCAGGGTGACGTTCACAGTGGCCGACGTACGGTCCCTTCCCGGGACCATCCTACTCCCTCGATCCATATGGAGTAAACACCACTCTTCCTGGTCACGTTAGATCACATGCCCCACAGTTAACAGAAAAACAGCACACTAGCTCCCCTTGGGCTTACATGTGTTTCAGGAGTCATTTCAACGAGGTTATTTTTTAACTAGAAATGTGGGCTAGCTGATTAGAGGCCGTATGCACACATTTAATTTCCACAGACGTCAAATAAAATATTTGCTTTGCTTTACCTGGCGGAACAATTTCAGTACCCTAGGTCATGCGGGCTCTCTCAGAACCGAGCAGTGCCTGCCTGGAATCTTAACTATAAAATTTGGCACAGTGGTATTATTAAATACTAGAGGCCTGGTGCACGAATTCGTACATGGGTAGAGTCCGGCTGGCCTGCCCCAAGGGGGGCCCGATTGAGGTAGGGCCGGCAGGTGGGAGGGGCCGCGGGAGGTTGGCCGGTCGGCCCCACCCCCAGTCGTAGTGGTGGGGGCCGGCCAGGGGGCAGGGCCACCCCTTGATTGGGCTGGTTGGCCAGCCGCAGTGCACGACATAGCAACCAGTCATTCCGGCATTCCGTTCGCTGGGCTTTTATATATAGATATTATTAAAGATGCTGTCAATGCCATTTTTTTTCAGATACATGTTTTTATTTTCATTAACAACACTAAGGAAAAAACATGCCAAGAACTAAAATGAATTTATTCAAAATTCATTGAGCTTCAACAGGAACATCCAACATAGGTTTTGGAAATCATTTCTTAAAGATGAATCATTAAAGACCTGAAACCTCACCAAATGGCTGCAAAGAAACTGGGATGGTGCCGCCACCGTGTCCACGTCTGAGCAACCAATCGCAGGGTTTACACTTGAGAAAGATGGGCCCACGCGGTTGCGTGACCCGGAAGTAACGAATACGTGGCTGCTATACTTCAGATCAAATATAATTTTAGCAGCTATTCTCTTACGTGGGAAGGCCTGGGCACACACAGAGTCTCCCAGTAACAGGGTTTCCGTCTTTCTTTTTTAATTCTAAGGGTTTTCCCCAAACTTTGAGTCTTCTGAGGTCACAAGGCCGAGGGATGGCTTCGGTCGGGATGCTCTGAAGCTATTCTCAGGGCTGCTGGCTGGCACTAACTGGCAGCCGTAAAAGGCGTCCATGGTTGGGCTGCTCGGGCTTCCTTATCGCTCTCTGCGGCGGATTAGATAATGGGCACTGTGTCCTGGAAAGCAGCTCGGGGCATTAACTGAAGGGAAGACGGGGAAGCCACAGTAACAGCAGAATGAAAGCCGCTCGGCCTGCCTGCTCCAACACTGTCCGAGGCAGACGTGGGGCGTAGCTTCTCGGAATAGCCCGTTTCACACTGTCATGTAAGTGGGAGAATCCATCATCCCCTTAAAAAGAAACTCGCAACACGGGACAATCCACAGGAGGGGCCTGGCTGGTAACATCCCCTTCGTACACAAAGGACATTGGTAGCCGTGTGGTTCTTGCTCTTAACCTCCTCGTGGTCATGTTAATAATCGGAAACTCTTGCCCATGTTTTTACTCCGGTTCTGTCTGGTCCTCTGATTTTACAAGAATGCAAAAGCCATCCAGAATCTAGAAACCCTCCCCCATTTTCCTATTTGTAAGACAAGCAAGGAAGTCTGGACCATTGTGCTACCTGAAACGACTTTCGTCTAAGACAGCGGTTCTCAACCTGTGGGTCGCGACCCCTTTGGGGTTCGAACGACCCTTTCACAGGGGTCGCCTAAGACCATCGGAAAACACATATATAATTACGTATTTTTTTGTGATTAATCACTATGCTTTAATTATGTTCAATTTGTAACAATGAAAATACATCCTGCAGATCAGATATTTACATGACGATTCATAACAGTAGCAGAATTACAGTTATGAAGTAGCAGCGAAAATAATTTTATGGTTGGGGGTCACCACAACATGAGGAACTGTATTAAAGGGTCGCGGCATTAGGAAGGTTGAGAACCACTGCTCTAAGATCTGGGGGTGAAATAGATCATCAACTTTACTTTTTATGAGAGAACTGGGAAAAGTAGTCGATGATTATTCTTTGATGAAATAAGTGTGCAAATTTAGTCAGTGGCCTGGGTAAATGTGTTTACACCAGAGCTATAATTTTTTAAAAATAAATCCTCAATTGAGGATATTTTTTCCATTGATTTTTAGAAAGAGTGGAAGGGAGGGGGAGAGACAGAGAGAAACACCGATGTGAGAGAGACACAGATTGGTTGCCTTCCACATGCCTCTGACCAGGGCCGGGAGTCTGCAACCGAGGTACATGCCCTTGACAGGAATCGAACCTGGGACCCCTCAGTCCATAGGCCAGTGCTCTATCCACTGAGCCAAAGCAGCTAGGGCAGAGCTACAATTCCTTAAACCCTTTAGTGTGAGATAACTAAGTTGGTGGATAAAACAATAAGAATAAAAAGATGTCACCCCCTCTCCACCCCCCCCCCCCCCACACACACACACTTACAACAGTAGCAAAGGCATCAATCAACTCTCCTTATAATATGTGCCCCCAGCTGTGGGCAAACTACGGCCCGCGGGCTGGATCCGGCCCGTTTGAAATGAATAAAACTAAAAAAAAAAGACCGTACCCTTTTATGTAATGATGTTTACTTTGAATTTATATTAGTTCACACAAACACTCCATCCATGCTTTTGTTCCGGCCCTCCGGTCCAGTTTAAGAGCCCATTGTGGCCCTCGAGTCACAAAGTTTGCCCACCCCTGGGCTAACCCTTCCTTGGCTCCTGTCACAAAGCTACTGACACCTGTGGGTGACCATCCACTACCAACGCATGTAACAGGCGCTTCATAAATAGGTCTGAGTGGCAAGTCAATGAGCGACTCTCAGAGGCCACACAGGCCGCAGAAACTGGACTTCTCAGCCCTGCCTCACCGTCGCTGGGGTCTCCCAGGAGTCTCTTCGACGCCCACGGAAGCAGAGGTGTTTCATGCCACCTGCTGCCAGGACCCTAGCTGTTTGGGGACACACTGGCATCTGAATGACCTGGAACCATTAGAAATAATGATGGTGAACGTTAAGTGTTTTTCACTAATAATATTGCAGCTCTAGCAGGAACCCTGCTGTGCTTTACACAGATTATCCCGTTATTCCTCCCAGTAACAGGGACTATTTTTTCCTTCATTTTCCAACAAGGAAACTAAGGCGAAGAGAGATCAAAGCCAACAGACAGCAGGGTAGTGGAGCAGTATTTCAACCCACAGTGTCCAGGTGTAGGACTCCGGTGCTCAGATCACTGTGACGCTCAGAACAACACTGAAACGGTTCTACAGTAACTGCAGCCTCCGCTCGGAGAGGTTTTGTCGGCGATGTCCAACGTGCCCAACCATCTATTCGTTTGAAAAACTGTATATTCTTATCCCCCCTCTTCCCCTAAGAGCTCACAGCATACATACTATCAAGTTTTCATCTGCACCCAAATAACTTTTCCCAATAGGCAGCCTTGGTATGGACTCCGCCACATGAATTTCAAGAGTGTTCATTCTTGGCCCGCAAACGCGCTCAACTGCAACACAGGGCTCTGCGAGCGAGAGGACGCCCCTTCCCGAGCTGGCAGTGACTCTGTGCGGTTCCGCGTGGCTTGGGCGACGCCACATCACCATGGCTGGGAGGCGCGCACTGCCAGGTGCTGGCGAACGGGAATGTTTTGTTTGGTTGCTGTGTTGGCACTGGCCTGTGCCCCCTGAACAATGTATAACTATCCCTGAGCGCCCCACACGGAGTCCACTGCGACAGACCCTCGCCACCGACGAACCAGACCAACAGCCCAGCTGGCTCGGGGCGCCTGAGAGCTGGGGCAGAGACAGCCTCTGAAGGTCAACCCGGTGAAAACCCTAAAAACAACCAACCACCCACCCACCCACCCAAAAGGCCGCCTGGGCAGGCAGAGAAGGAGTGTGTGTGTGACTCAGGCGACCGCAGCTGCTGGGACAGGCAAACCTTGGGACCCAGCGGTTTCAGGCCTTAGATCAGCGGTTCTCAACCTGTGGGTCGCAACCCCTTTGGGGGTCGAACGACCCTTTCACAGGGGTCGCCTAAGACCATCGGAACACACATATAATGACATATATTGTTTTTGTGATTAATCACTGTGCTTTCATTATGTTCAATTTGAAACAATGAAATTGGGGGTCACCACAACATGAGGAACTGTATTAAAGGGTCGCGGCATTAGGAAGGTTGAGAACCACTGCCTTAGGTATTTCCTTGTATTGCTCAGCATGTCTAAGGGGCAGGGGCCAGGCCGGGGGCAGCTCTGCTCCTACAGCCACTCGGGGGCCAGGCTGCGGACTCACCATTCTCGGCACCTGGTTACCTGGGCACCGATCTCCAGCCGGCTGGGGGAGTGGGGGGGGGGGTGCATGGGGGCTTTCATGGGCCGCAGTTAGAAGCGACACCTCATTTCTGCTCACACTCCATTTCACACAAAGAGCTGAACCTCTTGATCCGCATGGTTTGTGGGGGTTTCTGGGTCAAGTGGATTTTGTGGGGGCTTGAGAGGTCACCTCAGGCCACTCACGGACGAGCTCACGGCGAGTGGTCCATCTTGGACCTCATGACGAGACGTGATGCTGATGGGGCCGCGCTGGCGCCCTCAGGGCCAGTGGCCATGACCACAGCGACCTCCAGCTAAGGAAGCTGCGTAATCGGGGACTGTCAGTACAAGTCCTGGCTCAGGCGCCTGGGCGGCCCCAGAAGACCTCACGCCCACGACCTTGCCCCGAACCTTTCTTCTACGCGTCATGCCAACCACCAAATGGCCTGGCCCAGCTGCTGCCAGAGGTTCTCAGGGTACCGCCTGGGGGCGAGCTAACGGGCAGCGAGCTCAGAGCAGGCGCCTGTGCTCGGTGCTCCAGGCCCACGAGGAAGAGCCTTCGAGGCAGGTTCCAGGGTCTGCTGAGGGAGGAGTGCGTGAGGCTCCGGCAGGGCCAGGCGGCAGGCGGGAGCAGAGGCTGCAGGGAGCCACAGCCCGGCCTGGTGTTAGTCACAGGCCACTGGATGTGGAAAATGACTGAAGCTGTAAAGCGAGTACGACAGCTTTGTCATTACGCGTAGCTGACCCACAAAAACAAAACACCAAAATCTCTACACGACAGACCCATTTAATGTGAAGAACACACCGGATGTCCACGCCCGTCGGTGGTACACGGGAGTTTATTCTCAGCTCCTCTTCCTGTGTTTAATCGCCAGGGTGTGGGCCGCGTCCAGCCCTTTCTGGCTCCACACACACAGGCAGCGTTCGGATAACTGAAGGGCCACGGAGGCCACCTCTTCCTTAGCAACCACCTCAAATCAGACAAAACAGCAGCGCCGCCCTTCCTCTGCGAGGGCCCCCGCCTGCACTCAGGCAGGAAGCAGCCCAATGCGGGGGGGGGGTGGGGGGGGGTGCGACTCACCTTGGAGCACCTCCATGGGCAGCACGGTCCAGGCGTTCTCCAGGTAGGAGATGTAGATGTAGCGCGCCGTGTTGCAGGCCAGGCCGATGTACAGGACCCTGGGGACGCAGAGGAAAGTGAGTCGGGCCCGGGTGTGGGATACAGAACATGCAGGCATCGCTTCTATTTTCCCTGCCCAACCACCCATCACCCAGACAGCCTTCTGGGCTTAGCGGGGGTGGGGGGACGTGGGGGGAAGCGAGGGGTTCTCGGGAGTAAGAGGGTCGCTTCTGACATATCTGCCCTGGCCTCTCCCACGCTGGTCGGTCGGTATAAAGGCGAACATCCCTTCCTGAGCTCCGTCCGTGCAGGAGGAGGGCCCGTAAGCTGGTCCGGGCACCCCGCCGTCTGCAGTGACGGCCGGCTCCCTTCCGGGGCTGGAGGGGGCACCCGCCTGGGAAGAGTGACCAATCCCCCCCCCCCCGCGAGGGGAGGGACAGGATGGGAAGGAGAGCGTGACTGGACGTGGCCTCGCTGGCAATCCCCGAGACACCAAGCCGTCTCACAAGGACACTCTCAAGGTCACCCAAGCCACCAGCCAATGATGGAGAATAACCTTTGGAAACCAAATACTTTTTCCTTTTAGTGCCCTGTTTATGTTTTTAAAGCATGAGGTCATGTGCTGCCTTCCCCCTCGCAATCAGCACCACCAAACCACGACTGCAAACAAAACAGGCAAAGCCACAGCGGTGTGTGTCCAAGCATCTAAGGTCGCGCGCGCTCTGAGCGGGGCGGGCTGCTCTGTACTAACAGCCTGATGGTGGAGATCTCCCTCCTGTTGCTTCCCGGTTCCCGTGGGCTTTCCTAGCCTCAGTGCTCTCCTTGTTTTCTGGGTTCAGGTGGGGAACGCTAGAAGGCAAAAGAAAGAAACCAATCTGGCAGTCAGTGGTACTTTCCTCACCTCTAGCGCTCAACCACACTTTTATGTTGAAATCATTCCTATAAGTACGGCCCTTTTCCAAACGTTGGATCGGGAGGAGATGCTCGGGGCTCCGCTGGTGTTAACTGCAGAGCTAGGACAGGAGGGTGGGAGAAAGAAAACAAAAAAAGAAAGAGAGGTTGAGGGGTGGGGGTGGGATAGGAAGCGGGTGAGGGGCCGAGGAGGTCTCGGTATTGGAAAGGTCTAGGTTACAGTCTGCGGACATGACGTTCTTTGTATGTTTTGAGGGAAAAGTATATGTCTGAGTCCTCTCTGATAGAACATCTGTCCAACACACTTGCTAACGATCCACCAACCGGGGTCCCTCCAGGACATAGACAAGCAAAAAGCCCACGGGAAACTCAATGCAAAATACGCCACACAAGTTACACACGCCCGAGTCTCCTCCTTACGTCCTACGCCAGCCCCGTGCAGGAGCCCGACGTAGCCTGACTCGGACAGCGAACAGTCCCACGCGGGCCACGCGGCCGGCAGGCCAGGGCTCTGGGCCTCCTCGACCACGCGCGCTGCCGGGTGTGAAAGCAGCCACAGACCCTGTCAGCGAACGACCTCGCTGGCTGTGTGTCAACAAAACCTGAGTTATAAACACCGACATGTAAACCTCACCTGACTCTCACGTCACAAAGTATTCTCCTCATGACTTCTTTCAACCCCTTCAAAGTACGGAGACCATTATGGTTCCTGGGCCGGGCCATTCGGAGACAGACCGCAGGCCCGACGTACCCATGGCTGCGGCTTGCCAGCCCCGGCCTGGCTCGTCCCTTCTCCTTGGCTGTCGGTCGGGTTTGCTCAGTAACCGTTAGAGCTACAGGGGTGGAGGCCCAGGCGCCTTCAGCGACGACCTCTGGGCCCCGGGCACCGAGCTTGGGAAAGCTCCGAGACGAGCGGTGCCCAGCGGGGGGACGACCACGGGGTCGCCATCCCAGGCAGCTCGCAGTAATACTTCCCTAGATTCCCAGCATAAAAAAACTGCTAATACACCTTCCCTGTGTCCGCACCGCCTCTCCCCACCGTCCTTCCAGGCCCAATCCTGCGTCAGGGTTACCACGACCACTGCTGTTCAGTCCAGCCCCAAGGCCCCGGCCTGGAGCAGCCGAGTCCGCCAGCCAGGCTAAGGGACAGATTGGGCTTCGCCTCCAGACCCTGCCGCGTGCACTTCAGCCGCTGGGCCTGACTGCTGGGCCCGGGGCCTCCAGGGGCCGCTACCAAGCCCGCGGCTCCGAGTCGATGTGCCCTTCACTCCGTCCCACGTTCTGATCGCGCGGCTGCAGCCCTTCAGGACCCACGCGCCTTAGGGAGCAGACGCCGAGTAAGGAGTATCCGGCTCGTCCCTCCCTCTCTCCCAGCCCCGTTCCTCTGGTCCAGGAGGGACAGCATCTACTCTGCCCACTTGTTCAGATCACTGCTGCCCAGGGAGTTGCCCCAGGTGAGCACTCAGTACATGGCAGCCTCGTCATTGTTGTTCTTATTTTAAAGCAGAGTAACCAAGGACCCTCTTGTTTCCTGGAAACATTTTATTCCAGAATTTCAAAACAGAGAGGAGTCCTCGCATTCCTTCCTCGCCAGCTGTCCTGGGGCAGCCGTGACTCAGGAAGTCGGTCAGATGGGACCATGAGCGGGGAGGGAGGCAGCGTTCTGCCCTGTGACGAGGGAAAGGCGTGGACATGCATTTATTGAGCGGCCACTGAAAAGTATCGCAGCAACCTACGAATCTCTGATATCTGAGCGGAATATTTAAACCGCCATGTTATTCACTGTTCTGGGGTGAATTGTGTGTGCCACCCCCCCCCCCCGCCCCGAATACATTTATATGTTAAAGACCCAAGTCCTAAACCCCAGCACCTGTGAGTACCTGTATCTGGAGAGACGCCTTTAAAGAGGGGTCATGGCAAAATGAGGTCAGGTGGGCAGAGACCCCTGGCTGTCCCTGGAGTGTCCGGGGCACCTCGGATACAAATAACTGGACAACGAGAGGGAAGAGCATGACCGGAGAGGGAACGGACCCAGGTTGACGGTCAAGCCGCAGGGGCGTGAGGGCGGGGTCCTCCCCGGAATGAGGCGAGTCTCCAGCACAGCCACCCCTTCCGGCCATGGCCCTGAAGATGACGCCCTGTGGTTTGCTGCAGAAGGCAGCAGAGTACCTCCCTCCAAGCTCTTTAGAAAGTGATTAAAATATAAGCTTTAAGCCTTTTGAAAGAGTTACATTTTAGTCTAGAAAAGTCCCTCCTTTCTCATACCCACCCCCTCCCCCAACCAGCCCCCACGATGCCATGTGACTGCAAAGGTCCCGCGGGTGTCCCTGCCCCTCCAGCAGAACAGGCTGCAACGCTCCACAGTCGCTTGTCCCACCCCCCTTGTGTCCCCTCGTGGTGGCATCTCCTGCCATCCTGTGCCCCACTCCCAGGCCTGGCTGGTTTAAAAGGAGCATCGCTGCCCGGCCGGCGTGGCTCAGTGGTTGAGCGTTGACCTGTGAACCAAGAGGTCATGGTTCGATTCCCAGTCAAGGCACATGCCCGGGTGGCGGGCTCGATCCCAGGAGGCAGTCGATCCAAGATTCTCCCTCATCACTGATGTTTCTATTTCTCTCTCCCTCTCCCCTGCTCTCTGAAATCAATAAAAAAAAAATATCTTTTTTTTTTTTTTTTTTTAAAGAACACAGCTGGCATTGTCTCAGCTGCCGTCACGGCACCCTCTCCTACCTCAATGGTAGCAAAGCAGCCAGTCGGAGGGAGACGTGGCCACAGGGCCAGCGACCGAGCACCGAGGGGCTGGGACGGCCACGCCTCATGCCCAGAGCGGATGCCTCGCTAGACGTGGCCGAGCCGAGGGCCTACTTCTCCCTTTTCCCAAGACACGCCCTCTGCCCGGCACCTCTCCCTGTGCGAGTCCCCGTGTCAGGAGCCATCCCTCCAGGGGACCTCCCAGGGCTCCCAGCGTCACCGGCTGCCTCCCGTCCCTCTGTCCCCGTTTCCATCGGTGCTGGTCACAGCTGCACTCGCACGCAGGGGCTGAGTGCCCGGGGGACAAGGCTGTGTCGTCTTTATCTCGGCACTTAGAGGAGCCTGCCTTGCTCCAGTACGCCGTGAGAATACAGCAACATCGCGTCACATAATCTCAACCAGGCTGATAAACGATGATGACGGCAAAGAGAAGGACTGTTCTCTTGAAAAGGGCATTTCTCACGTGGCCACCAGGATTTTGGACGGGATGACTCTTTCCCATGGGGGCCCCATTCACTGCAGGGTGTTAGGGTCCCTGACCCCTGCGTGCTGAATGCCAGTCTCTGAAACAACGGGAAATGCCCCCGTCCATTCTGCACACCTGCTGCTGAGAACCTCTGGGTAATCTCTGAAAACAGTGTCTTCCTGGTCGTAGTATCATCGTGTGTGTGTGTGTGTGTGTGTGTGTGTGTGTGTGTGTTTCCATATTCTAGTTACGTTAGCATATAAACAAACCTAGAAGGAGATAGAAACCAAACCATGATCGATGGCTATCTTGGAAATTTCTGATTACAGCGCCCTTCATTGTCTAGAGAATATATTTCTGTAGATTTTGAGTTTGTATAGTGAATTATGTACTTTTTCCCCCATACGTATTTTTATTGATTTCAGGGAGGAAGGGAGAGGGTCAGAGAGATAGAAACATGAATGATGAGAGAGAATAACTGATCGGCTGCCTCCTGCACAGCCCCTACTGGAATGGAGCCCACAACCTGAGCATGACCGGGAATCGAACCGTGACCTCCTGGCTCATAGGTCGACGCTCAGCCACTGAGCCACGCTGTGAGATGGTGAGATGGGTGGTCCACAGCCACAGAAGCCACATCCACTGGGAGTCAGCCCTGTGCTCTTTAATCGGTGAGAGCCTCGGGCCACCGAGCAGAGGAGAAAACCAGCCAGTATGACACTGATCACTGCATTCCCCCGACCTACTCACTTGCAGCTCCTGCCAACAACGGCCTTTTGTTCTAAACTATGAATAGCTCAAGGAACAGTAAGGCTGTATTCTCCACTCAGCCTAGCAGCCATGACATCATACGGAAACACATTTCTCTGCAAAGATGTTCTTTCCAACGGGCTGCAAAAAACAAATCGCACCCTTTCGGCTCTTGATCAGAAC